ACCTCTAATAGAAGTTATAAAAGCCTAGAAATAACTAGACCCCTCTTATAGTGGTAGGTATCTTCTACTTTTATACTATAATAACCTTCTCTAGGTCTACCTTAATACTATCTATTAAGATAATAAAGCTAAGATACCATATCTCTATTACATAGAATTTATACTTTTTTATTAAGGCTTGTAGGCCATGCTCCTATAAATACTATAGAATAGTATAGATATAGAGCTAGTAGTCTAATTTATTATTAGAATAGATTAGCAGGTTATTAATAAATGCCATTAGGTATTAATCTAGGTAGTCTATAAAAATACTATTTATAAAGTACTGGAATATGGCTAGCTTATTAGTAAGTCTAAAGGGTATTACCTTATATTTAAAGCTGCCATATTATAAGCAGAATATAGTAAGGTCCTCTAAGGCTAGATCTATGCAAATCTAATAAAAACCCTAGTAGATATCTAGCTTAGTGAAGATCTTTACTCTAGAGATATACTCTAAGATCTTATTAATTAAGGGGAGAGGGTAATAGTCCTTATATATTATAGTATTTAGCTTATAGTAATTAATATAGAAGTATAGTCCTCTACCTAGCTTTTCTACTATAAGAATAGGAGAAGCAAAGGGAGCATTACTAGGTATAATAAATCCCTTATAGAGGTTATCTAGTATATATTCCCACACTGCTTCTAATTCTTCTATATTTATCTTATATAAAGGCCTATAGCTAACTGCATTCTCCTAGTCTAGTTCTACTTTATAGTTAAATTCCCTGTGGTGGGGAGGTAAAGTATTAGAATTATATTTAGAGAAGATGTTAGCTAGGTCCTAATAAGGTTCTAGTAATACTTACTTAATCTTACTAATCTTATCTTTAGTAATCACCAGGCTGTGGTTAGTTAACTAAGATATTAAGGACTAAGCTATAATTATTAGCTACTAAGGGAGGGAAAGAGATTGCCTACCTTATTTTTTATTAATTAGTTTATTAAGCTTATAGAGGGAAGATAGGAAGATAGTAGTATCTTTCTTATATATATATTAGTAGAGTGCTACTGCACCTATTATAGTGATATTAATAATAATCTTACTTAGTGGGAGAGTAGGCTATAGTAATAATATTAGTTCTATGCCTCTTCCTTATAGAGCTTATTCCATCTTAAGGGCGCAATGCTACTAATTAATTTCTTCTATTCTTATAGATTAGTATTACCTAGCCTTATAGAAAGGTGAAATAGTAGTTATTAGCATTGCTAGGTCAGGCTCCTTAGGGGAATATAGCTTAGGTACCTCCCTAGGAGCTGTGGAAGGATGCATTAGGGACTAAATATATAAGGTTTTAGAGGTATCTAGGGCCCTTAGATTATTTTAAAAAAAAGATGCTATAATCTTACACTATGGCCTTATGGTTCTCCTATAGAGCTATATATATTTAAAGGCTTAGTTACTGCCCCAGGAAGAACCACAGGGCTAGGTGTGATTAGGGAGAGAAGAGAAGATAGAGCTAAGGGAGGGAAGATGCCCTTTTTATACCCTGCCTATTATCTAGCATAGCACACCATGTCATATTAGTAATCTTAGTTAATTAGTTACCTAATTAGAAAGCCACGAGGGTCCTCTTAATTCATCTATATAGTAATCTTATTCTAGTAAGTGGGTAGTGTAGACTAGATTAGCTATTTCTCTATATAATCTACTAGAACATAGTGTTCTATAAGCTATATCCTTCCTAGTATAATATTATAGTATCCCAGCTCTAGTATAAGAAATAGCATCCATCTTATAATGTGATTATCTGTGGCTATAATTAATATAATAATATAGGTGAGTGGAATAGACTGCTTCCTATTAAATCCTATAACTATGTACTCCCTCTCTAGGGGTATAGTAGGAACTCTAAAGTATTAAGATATCTAGATAGCTAAGGAAGTAGTCATACATGCATATATATTTACTCTAGTATTAACTAAGAAGCCTATAGATACTAAGAATCTATTAATAAGGATAAGTAATTTTATTTTAAAACTATCTTCTTTATTACCTAATAGATTCCATAAATCTAAGTTATATAAGTTAACTAATTTCTTACCTAAGAAGGAGACTTCTCCTAGGCATTCTTATTTTCTAATTCAGGAGTGGACTTAATAGGCTATTCTAATACCTTAAGCTACATGGCCTGCTTTATAGGGCAGCTATAGCTAATATATCTAACCTAGAAGTATATAAAGTATTTACCCTTATTTATAAGGTATTTCCTAGTCTTATTATTAAGGCTGTTAGGAGCTAGGGAAGCTATAGCAGTATAGCTATAGGTAGTAGTATTATCTATAGAGAGAGCAGCTATAGCTAGAGTAGTAGTATAAGACACTACTCTAGTCCCTCTAATATAAGTATTAGTGCTGCTATTTAGATAAGCCTTAATTCTTTCTATATTCTTAATATTTATTACTATATAGCTATAGTAGTCTATAAACTCCTGGAAGGTCTTATTATTATTATTATAAGTAGGTATAGTAAGCTCTTACATGTAAAGAGATAGTTTATTATATAGATTATCTTACTAGCTCTCTTTAGGGATGCTTACTTCTACTATAAGATATAGGAATTCAGAAATAAAGTTATTCTATTTAGCTAATAGCCTTATATAGAGGGTGTTATATTTCTGCTTAGTAACTTACTTATAATTAGGGTCTATAAATACATTTTCTAGGTGCTTAAGGAGGTCTATAGAGTCCTAGTATAAGTTAATAGTATCTTCTTATAGTTAAGGGGTAATATACTTCTAGGCATTACCCTTAGTGCAACTAGTTATATAGGTAATTCTTATTATAGGGTTAGGGAAGTAGTTAGCATTAGTAATAAGCTTCTACTTAATAGCTAGTAACTAATCTTTAAAACAGGGGTCCTTTCTATTACTAAGGAGAGGAGGGTCTAGAATCTTTACTAACTTACTACTAGTAGCTAAAGCCTAGGAACTAGTGTTTTTAATACTAGATCTATAGGCTACCTATAGAGTGAAGTTATTTTATTCATAGATTACCTCTTTAAGCTTCTCTTAGGCCTTATTATATTTAAGATTAGTAGTAATAAGCTAGGCCTAGGTCTATTTATATTCCTAATAGATCTATTTATTCTAGTGCTTAAGATCATTAGTCTTACTCTAGCTCTTAATAAGTTACTTATTTAGGAGAGCTGCCTCCACATAGTTCTAGTTTGCCTTTATATCTAAAGTAATATAGATCTAGGAGATGGCTTCCTAGTAGCACTTAAGGTCTATTCCCTAGTGGGCAGTGAATTCTTTATAGGAGATACTATTAGCTAACTTATAGGTATCTTCATTAAGGCTGCTGTTCTCTATCTAGTTAAGTAGGGTAGTCAGCCTTCTAGCAAAACCTGAGCCTAGTCTAGTACACTGAGTAGAGGGATTATAGGTTCTGTTTCTAGCTCCTTACTAGTTCTTAGGCTCCTTAGCAGAAGCTGCAGGTCTAGCTATTATTTATTCTTCATGATCTTAGTTAATAGATCATATCCTCATCTCTAACTGTTGGTGTTATTAGCACGCGAGGGTTCTTTACAAGAGGAGGTAAGATTAGTGCTTAACATGAAAAAGAATGCATTTCTTGCTGGATCTTGCACCTTCTAATAAAAGAGATGATGAAGGAAGTAATACTTAGTTTTATATAATGGCACTGCTTATATTCTAATAGTATAGTAGTATTTTAATAGAAAACTAAGCATAGAGAAGAGGGGGAAGAAGTATGTACATAGTAGGGAGATATATAAATAGAGGGTGGAACAGTGCAAATAATCCAAACAGCCCTGGAGAGGTAAGTGGTTAAGATAGGTAGAAAGCTCCATGTAAGGAGGTCCGCGGGGAACATGGTGACGGATTGTCACAGGTTCGAACATGTCGGATTAGGTGGTCGGCTCGATTGTATCGTTTTTCGCAGGAACCGCACTGGAAATGGCCGTCGCGCTGCCCGGCGAGGGAGCTGTGGGGAGAGTTGTCGAGAATGGGGAGCGGGGAGTCAGTCGCCATGGCGAAGACACATGAATCTTATGAGGAAACTCTACTTGGGAGGGATCGGTCCGAGACATAAAGATCGTCAGACAGAAGGAGAAATTCAGATGTGCAGCTGTGAGTAGCGGATGATGAACGAGAAATGAGGGAAACGGGGAAGTCTGGGGCGGATGAAGCTAAAATGCTGAATTTGCGGGGAAGCTGAATTGCCGACGCCATGGTTGTTTGCCTGAGGCTCACTCTAACCGTTCTGACTTAGGTTTTGCATTTTGCAAAGAGACTACAGGTCTACACTAATGGTACTCTAAATGCAGCTGACAATCCAATCTCATTCAGCTTCCCAGCTTGAAAGAAAACGGGGCTATGCTCCTCTGATCCACAGAGTGGATGCCAATCCTGGTTCTGAAGACCGCATGGCACAGGCAGTTCAACAGCAATAGTCCAAGCTTCAGAGCACTTCACTTTCATACACCGCCGGCATCCAGCAGGACAATTGGTAGGATTATAATCACTGCAAGTCATGGCGCAGAGATGAGCAATACACGTTCATTCGGAGGTCCTCGTTTGGGGCCACCCAAGTCAGAATGCGGAGGTGCGTCGGGATGTGGAGGCGCATACCCGAACAACCTCAGCCGAGATGTCCGGAAGCTAGGGTAGCAAATCTAGGCATAGCGTCGCGCGACTATGTTGGTTGATAGGGATGCAGGGAGGTTAACGAGGACTGTATGTGGTAGATTATGTTAGTCAATACCTGCTGCCAGTCTGTAACTAATCGACAATGGCCTAGTGAGGCACATACCAGCTGGTAGAGTTGCATAACCGAACCGCTAAAATCGAGTGACTGCGCTCTGCTCGGACTTGAATATCCCGAGATCCCTTGGCATTGCCGATATATTGAGAAGCCTAGGCAGCCGAAGCTGAGCATGGACACCAGAAATCAGACACGGAATTCTTCCTATAGCGGATCTCCAAAAAAGCAAAATGGCAGCGCAACCACCCAAGGACATGACTGAAAGCACAACGGAGACCAGGTGGAACAGGAGACTCGAGGACATCGCCAACAGCCTGCGTCCCTCGCTGCACGAGTGGATTAGGCGGCCTCGAAGAATAGTCGAGTTTGAGCCCGACAGCGACGCATACTTCCATGTCCGGCCCAAGACTAGCGATCACTCTATATCGTCGCTCCCTTCATTGAACTGGACGAAGAACGATGAGTTTGTTCTGGACTTTGGGATCCACATGGTTGGATATCTGTCCTTCGTCCTGGACTTCACAGGTGCCAATATGGATGCACCTTGCCGCCTACACCTCACCTTTGGAGAATCATTGTTTGATGTTACAATGGATATGAAGAACGTTGACACTTGGTTGAGTACGAGCTGGCTCCCAGATGAGACCATCAACGTTGACTTCTGCCCAACGGACGTCTCACTTCCTAGAAGATATTCGTTCAGGTATCTCAGGGTTCAGGTGATCGACGTTTCTCCAAAGTATACAGTTCGCTTTTTAGACGTCCTATGCAAGTGTGTCAGTTCTATCAGCCATGATACACCAGTCGAAATTTTGAAGTATAATGACCCAATCCTTGACACCATCGACCACGTCAGTATCTCCACCTTGCGAGACTGTATGCAGATGGTCTTTGAAGACGGGCCTCGCCGGGATCGGAGACTCTGGATCGGAGACCTGAGGCTGCAAGCCCTTGCAGCATATTCCACATTCCGAGACTACAAGCTGGTCAAGCGATGCCTCTACCTTTTTGCCGCCGTGAGCCGGGTGGATGGCTCACTGCCTGCATGTGTTTTCGAGCAGCCCCAGCTCTCGCCGTCCACAGACTACATAATTGACTACGATATGCTGTTTGCGCCAACCGTCCACGACTACATGTGTGCATCCAACGACGTCCAGACGGGCCATGAACTCTGGCAAACCGTCCAAGGATGCCTGAACCGAGCCCTGGGACATGTGGATCCGGAGACAAAGACCTTCAATCCAGGCCACTCGGATGATTGGAAGTTCCTTGACTGGGATCAACAACTTGACCGCACAGCAGGAGAGCACGGTGTCCTTCTGTACTGCTTGAAAGCGGCTAACAAGCTAGCTCAGCTTCTGCAAAAGCCAGAACCATTCACAGAGCTGGTGCAGATGTTAACTGCATCTGCATCGCAGTTTCTTTCTGACGACGGGGTCTTCATCTCAGGGCCCAGCTCACAGGTGTCGTACGCTTCTGCTGCTTGGTTAGTCCTCTCCGAAGCATTTCCGCAGCAAACGGCTCGCACTGCTCTTCTCAAGACACTGGCTCATCCAGATGTGGTTAAGCCATTAACACCGTACCTGTGGCATCATGTCTGCGACGCTCTAGCAACTGTCGGGTGCTACCAGGAGTGTATTGACATTATGACCTCATACTGGGGGAAGATGGTGCAGGCTGGTGCGGACACTTTCTGGGAGTGTTTCCATGCGAATGATGCCAAGAGTAGTCCATACGGTGATGTGAGGAACAATAGTTTCTGTCATGCCTGGAGTTGTACTCCTACCTACTTGCTGCGGGGTAAACTTCGGCATTTTGTGGAAGCAAAGAATTTGGGGAAAGTGACAGTGAAACAGTGGGATGAGAAGTGGATTGGGAGAACAGTATAGAGCGTTTGGCAATAAGCATAAATTATTTACTGGCACTTGGGGCGATTTTGCTACTCGTATTTTATTGAACTCACTGTGTATGCTGCTGCTGTATTGTATAGAGGGCCTCCAGCCATACAGCAATGTAATTATCCAGGTCAAATCCGCCGGAAAGCCAATATTTCCACGTCTAACATACTTGGGCATGGGGGATATGCTTCCCTTTGAAAGGCACCCGTCTTCATTAGCCTGTAATCCCTACATTAGCCAGCAAGCTTAATTCAGGAACTACCACATTCCCTCGTTGCTGTTACACCCCCAATGGGTTTAGATAAGATCCCAGTTTCTCCAAATAGAGTATCACGCCTTATGCCTTGATTCCTCCACCGTTTCAACCGTCACTACCACGCCGTCTTCCATGTCTTTAACAACTGGTTGGTCACCGAACAGCTCATCAATCCCTTCCAGCGTCTTGCCCTTAGTCTCCGGATAGAAGAGCAGATAACACACCGCGGCGATCAAGTTCCAGGCAAAGAAGAAGTAAAAGAACTTGAATCCCAGGTCTTCGAGCGCCATTGGTGCGCACTGCGCAAAGACCAGGTTCAAGCTCCAGTTAGTGACAGTCGAGAGTGAGTTACCGCGTGCGCGTATCTCAGCGGGGAAAATCTTATTTTTGCGGGTTGTCAGCCTGTTGCATGATTCTGGAGGTGACGGGGCTATTCCAACTCACCTCGGCGGGGTACACCCACGAGATGACACCGATCATGGTGAAGAAGAGACTGAAGACAAAGTTCATGGCGACCATCGCTCGGAGAGCGTTCTCATTAGGCGAGGGATTGTCGATCAGGACATAGTATTTGGAGAGCACCGAGTTAACTAGAAGGGCCGCTGCCATGCCCCCAGCCGTGATGACGAGGGGTTTGATGCGACCAATTCGATCAAGCAGCCACAGCCCGATGACACAGTAGACAATGGATAGACTGCCCGATATGCCGATGATTTGGAGGGAAGTGCTTGTGTCAATGCCGAGAATCTCATAGATTTGGGGACCATAGTAATTGCTGGACAAAGTTAGCACTTGCGAATACGCACAAGTGACTCAACGCTCACATAACATTAATGCCGGATAGCTGGCCAAAGGCTTGTATGCCCATGCCCAACGTCAATCTCCGACGCCAGGAGGGCCGGGAGAACATTTCTCTCCAGCTTCGGACAGCTATCTGCTTCTCGGCCGTTATAGTGTCGACAATCTCGCGGTACTCTGCCTGAAGGAAATCTTCATTGGAACCATTTCCATGCAGTGTGTCCAGCACCGCTTTGGCTTCTTCAAACCGTTCCTTTTCCACCAGCCAGCGGGGTGACTCGGGCAGGAACCAGATGCCTATTGCCATAATGAGGCCTGGGACGGTCTGGAAAGAAAGCGGGAAGCGCCATTGGAAGTTACTGTCGACCTGGAAGCATCCATATCCCAGCCACTGCGCGACGAAAAACCCCCACGACAGCATGAACTGCAGAAGACCCGAGAGCTTGCCACGGTCCTTGGAGATAGCTATCTCTGACGAAAACAAAGGGACAATAGCGGACAGCAGGCCCACGGAGAAGCCGGCAATGAGTCTGCCCGCGATGAGCATGGCAGTGTTTACTGCACCACCTTGCAGAACGCTTCCAATGACAGAAATAACAGACCCGATAAAAACGGTCAGCCTCCGACCGAATCGATCGGCCAGGAACGAGATGGAGAGTGCTCCGAGGATGGCACCTCCAGTGAAGGAAGAAACAATCCCGCCACGTTCCGCAGAGGAAGGTGTGCCCATGTACTGAATGAAACGCGGCTGTGCGATGGTTGACGAGATGATGCCGCTGTCATAGCCAAAGAGAAACCCACCCAAGGCGAGAAATGCCGCCACACCTGCTGTCTTGAGACGACCCATTGCCGCAAAACGATTGATTTTTGACCTCACCAATACTCATACCGGGAGCATAACGAGAATTTATAGGGACCTAGGTGGTAAAAACCAAAACTAAGATCCTTTAAGGCCTGTAACCAGGAGAGGGTCAAATCATCGGTATTAATTTGACCGTGGGCTGGCCTCCATATCTTCACAATAGCATGAAGTGTAGGCCCTGCATTGCAAAAGCGCCACTTTGCGGTCCACATCCGGGGTAGAATGTGGAGGTTGGAGTTAGCGTCTTGGAAATGCACACAGACGAGAATCCTGACGGCAAGGCGAGTGAGGGATACGTACGGAGTATTGAATCTCTTGCTCGGGATATTGAGCCCCGAGGATGTCCATGTTTCACGTTTTGAAGCAATTCCGTTCTATTGCCAGAGCCCTTCTCGGGATGTGGACTCGTGCTGCAACTTGGCAAGAGGGATAAGCGAGCATATGGACGCTGGTGCCAAGCCTGGGTTCTATACAGATAAAGTACAATCATTATATGGACGTGGTAGAGAAGCAAGAGCTATGTACATTGTCGGTGTGATGAATAGACATGAGGCCTATTTAAACGGAGATGTTTCACACCCTTTTACTGTGCCAACCATTTCAACGAGTCCTTTGTCTTTTATCCAGTATCACTTTCTGAAGCAAGATGATTAAACTCCCCGGTGCACTCTTCCTCACCCAGCTGTGTCTGGCAGTTTCCGCACAATATCTCGACTGGAGAATTTACAAAGCAAACGGAGTCAACCTTGGAGGTTGGCTTTGCCAGGAGTCTACGATTGATACGGCCTGGTGGGCAAGGTACTCCAAAGGCGCCGAGGATGAATGGGGCCTCTGCGCAAACCAGGGTGCACAATGTGGCCCTATCCTGGAGAGACGATACGCAAGCTATATTACACCTGCAGCCATTGATAAGCTCGCTGGTGCTGGCGTGAACACCTTGCGTATCCCCACCACCTATGCGGCGTGGGTCAAAGTGCCCGGCTCGCAGCTATACGCCGGTAACCAGGTTTCTTTTCTGAGGAACATTGCGACATACGCTATTACCAGACATGGCATGCATGTGATCATCGACGTGCACTCACTACCGGGTGGAGTGAATGGAATGCCTTTTGGCGAGGCATCCGGACACTATGGATGGTTCAACAATCAAACCGCTCTCGATTATTCGCTTGCAGCAATCGATGTCGTTCTCGCTTACGTGCAGAGCTCGGGTCACCCAGAATCCTACACCATTGCACCCATCAATGAGCCGGTTGATAATCGAGACATGAGGTTCTTTGGCACGCCTGCAGCCTTGTCTGAAAACGGCTCTGCTTGGGTCCTGCGATACATAAAAGCAGTCTTGAACAAAGTGGCTGCGGTGAATCCCAAGATCCCAGTCATGTTCCAGGGAAGCTTTCGACCTGAGACATACTGGTCGCCCAACTTCCCAAGCAGCACAAATTTGGTGTTTGACCAGCATAATTACTACTTTGCTGGTCGCGGTGCAACGGGCCAGAACATTACTTCTTATATCTGTGCCGATGCCGCTGGTGGAGCTGGGGATGGCAAATTCCCTGTTTTCGTTGGGGAATGGTCGATCCAGGCCGAATACAACAATACTTTCACCGGACGGGAGAGGGCCTTGAATACAGGACTATACGCCTTTGCGAAGCATGCCCAAGGCAGTACTTACTGGACTGCTAAATTCTCGGGAAACGCTACTGTCAACGGTCAGGGAACGCAGGCGGATTACTGGGACTACATGACCTGGATTAATCAAGATATGATCCATCCGGCCGACGCAGCCGATATGTGCGCTTAAGTTGAGCTCCATTTGGATCTGTCCTAGGCATGGGCAGTGGCAGTGGGAGTAGATATATGACGCTGAGATAATACATTTTCAGTTACTCCGTAGCGCGAGCCATAAACAGCCACAGTAGCAGCTATATCTCCTGCTAGCAATTCCATAGATATAGTACAGATGATGCTTGAACCGAATCAATACTTGGCTCTATGGTCAAACCCACCGTTGACGAGCAGTTGATTGGATTGGAAGAACAAAGTGTACGACGTTTGACAATAGGCATAAAAATTGTACTGGCACTCAAGGCGATTTGCTACTCTCATTCCATCGAAATCACTGTCTCTGCTGTTCCTGCGTTATATAAAAGGATGAAGTTGATTTATGTGTGTGACAATGCACATGTCTATCAGCAGCCCCATAATGGCTATGAGTTGGTAGTGATCTACAATAACACCATCATAGCAAAGACAGTGAATAAGCTTGCACCAAGGGGAGCCGCTATTGACCAATTCCCTCCTGAAGTGGAATCAGACGTTGAGATCGAACGCCTAATAGATGATGGGTCGGCTGTTCCAGTGCAACTGACTGTTTCAGTTACAGTTATCACCCTCACTGGGCTCACAATTAAAGGAAGGTGAGTAGAACTCGAGGCAAAGATATCCTCAGAACGAGGGTGGGGAACCGAAGAAGAAACAGACGCAGCAGAAGAAGCCGAGGCAGTAGTAGAAGCAGCAGTAGAAGCAGCAGTAGAAGCAGCAGTAGAACCAGTGAGAGAACTAGAAGCAGCAAGGAATGGGCTTGAGGGTCCTGCAACGCGCCCTGGAACTAGACTAGACACTGGGCTGGAAATTAGGTCACTGGTGCTCCTCCGCGCATTTTGAAGAAAAGCATCCAATCTGTCACCTGGGTTGAGCGCAAAGACCATACCAGCATGACAGTGAGATGATGGTTAGCTCTATTTGCAAAAGAACCATTGCGGATGTAGAGATTTGACAGTAAGAGTTATGACAAGGTTGTTCTTATCCTTAGGATTGAATTAGTTGAATCCAGTATCAAATTCTCTGATGGAAGAACAAGGCTCCGCGAGGCTTGACTGGGTCAAGGTATGGTTCACATTATGGAATCTGAACTTATCTTGATTGCTAATGTTTGTATTTAGTCTGTTTAGTAAAAACATCAGTGTATTATTAGATCTAACTGAAACACAGTGCACTACTTAATTTTCTATTTCGCCAAGCTTGACTGTGACCTTGTTGTTAAATTCAAGCCATCACACAGGTGCTTAGAGGGTCCACTTGGCATACTAGGCTCATATTCTTTATGTAGTGTAACCTTCTTGAGACCTTTAATATATCTAAACGCATGGTGGAGAGGACTTCCCATGCTTGTTGGTCCAACACTATATGGGCAGATGGCCCAGAAATTGGATGTACTTCCATTTTCTGTGTCAGATACGGAGAATAATCCATATCTTAAAGAAAGGAGCTTTTACCCGCAATCAGAATAATAATGTTCTAGGAGACATTGTTAGCTTTACTAAGAGGATTTTAGACTGGTTCGAAATGGCTGTGACATACTACCTATCTGGGGCCGGTCGATGTCTGGGCCCAAGCAATCAGTATACTCCGTACAACCATCCCCTTTCTAATCTCTCATCATTGAAAACCAGCATTCATTAGCATGTCAATTGGTAACTGTGATCCTGGTTCAGGTACCACCCAGCAGTCACCACAGCCTCAAGGCACTAAACTCAGGCGCCCTGCATGGTCTCTGCATGGTCTCTGCGCTAGGCGATCCCTACTCTATAAGTGTAGATGCTTGTACCGTCGTCAAGCATTTACAAGCTCCAATGAGGCTGGTGCTTACGTGTTGGGGCCTTCAACTAAAAGCGCCCCTCCTCACGGCTCATCCTTTAGTGAGATCAGGCTTCCCATTGTTGCTTACCAAGTTACCATCTGCAGAAACTGGTCCTGACAAGAGCAATCGGTAGTCCGAAATCGAACCCAGACAGTTCTCATTGGTTGCAAACAAGCCATGGATGACAGCTGAGGGCTGCCTGTCTGCAGCTTGCTTGAGACAGGGGCTGTTAATAACTGAGGCATCGTTTGCTTCATAGTACTACTATGAGTACTGTACAGTTCAAGGGCGTAGTACTCCTTGGAGCAATGTGCGCGCTTTATTTTTAATTACTTCTAGATGATGTGGTTGACATACAAGAGTATTCCTTGACGCCGGCGCTATCAGGTCACGGTTTAATAAGGGCTGTTTCTGGGGCCCTGCTGACTGTGCCATCGAATACATGGTTTACTGTACTTACTGTTAGTGCAGGCAGCGTACCTCCGAGAGTATTAAGATACTTATAATCCAGGCCTTAGACGTTCTATCACTAAGCTCTCTTTAGCCGGGCAAGCTTACATGATGCACCTATCTTCCGGAGTCTGAGTAGGATAGACATGATGATGGTATGCCTATACATTTCATCGGTGCGTGTAAGGACTGTTAAGGGATTCAGGAGAAAATAATGACAATAATGATGATGATCTACTTACGTTAAGTCGAGGGAGTCCGCCGAATAGTTTCTCGTGACCCGAACGGGGCTTGGGTGTTTGATTTTTAGACTGGATTCAGTTTTCATTCTTGAATACATATCTGAATCAAAGACGGCAACTGTACTAAACGAGATCAACAATAAACAGTGACACGAAGCAATGCAACTAAAACTTTCCCCGTATACCACCATGCTCCACGCCGCCCCAAAGGACAAACTTGGGCTCCAGTCCCTTCCCAGCTTTCTCGGTCTGCGCTAAGCCTTCCGACTCCGGCAGAAGGACCACGTTCTCCGGGTAGATCTTCCCCAGAAGCGCCAGAGCAACGACCGGGTCTTGCACGGGAATCACATGGAGACCGCCATTTTGAGCTGTAACGAGGCTGCCTTTTTCGTGCTCCGTCTCCAGGAGGACGGATGCGGCGTCGTGGACCACGGGGGACGTCGCCGTGTGCATACCGTTGGATGATGTCGCGGATTTACTGGCACTGGCCGCCTGATAGGCGTAGCGATGGCCACGCGCAACCTGTCCCAGGTCAACCGAGACGCACTTGCCGTTGTCGAGCTGGAGTTGCAATTCGAGCTGCCGGACCGCTTGGGATGACGAGGTCGAGTCGGGTGTCGGTGGAACGACTCCGATGCTGGTGCTTTGTACGCCGAGTGCTGGTGTGCCCCAGCCATTGGCCACCGGGTATTTCTCGGACTGAAGCACCGAAGGCTTCTCGGTGCCGGCGGGGATCTCGACGCGAGGCGCCAGATAGTAGTCCTGGATTCGGTAGTCGAAGATGACACCTTTTGGTGCGTCGTCGACCAGCTTGGCGGGGATATACTGGAGAAGATGGAACGGAGTTGGCCCACCGGCCAGAAAAGCGGGAAGGACCAGGCCATGGGCATATTGGAAACCGTAGCCGGGGCTGGCCTTGGGCGAAGTCAGGCTGGAATGAGACAGAAGGCCTGGAGCAAGGAGAGCCTGGGCATGTTTAATGATTGCTGATTGGGTGACCTCCTTGGTCAGAAGGTGGGTGAGAAACTCCGACCGGGATGGCTCAAGATGTCGAACGCCTCTAGCGGCTCGGCCATCAACAGGGATGATCACATCCTCGTAGTTCTTGAACGGCAGCAGAGCGTCACGCAGGAGGACCATCTGATGCATATACTCGTTGAACAGCTGCATCAGATGCGACTGACTGCGACGGCCGAACATTAGGTCGACATTGGGCGGGATGAGCAGATGGCCCTCACAGGGGCTGCGAAGGTAGAGGTCGGGATTGAATGGGCCACCTGTGTGGTTGCGCGCGTATTGGACGAGCGTCTGTCCAATACGTCTGGCCTGCTCGGCGATTTCTTGGCGGGAGGCATCAAGATCAGTGTCGGGGAAGCGCAGAGTGGCTTCTCGAGTGTTGATGTCAAGATTAGCGGCTAGGTTGTCAAGCAGTTGCGCCCGCGCTGGTCTGGCGTTTGGTGGATCTGGACCTAGCCGGAACACAACCGTGTCCAGCAGTGGCGCAAACCCTTGGACTAGTTGACGGGGCGTGTAGAGACCGGACTTGAGGCCCCAGGCCTCGCGAGGGGTGCCCTTGTCATGCGCGCCGGCGTCAGGCCGGACGGGGATACTCTGGCCGACCAGGATAGGGGCTGCACCTCCGGCACCGAGACCGGATAGGCGAAATACGGTGTCTGCAGTAGCTTTCATGGCGGCAGCTCTGATCATGTTGTTGTCAAAGACCAGCTGAAGGAGGAGGATTCGAAGGACACCGAGGCTCGGACGCATCGTGCCCTGCCCTGCATAGTTATACCAGCGACTGGAGGAACGGACAAAGCCAGAACCAGGTAAAACGTTGCCGCCATGTTGCGGAAGCCGACAATTTGGGTATCCAATTGCTCCTTCTTGTGTTATGTGCCTCCGTCGCCTTTGCTCACAGGGTCCGGAGAAGAGTGGATGTGGTCCTCACGCCCGCCCGGAGTTGGTGGTCGTTTGACGACCACGAACTCCGGCGGCCGCAACTCATGTCTAGAGAAACAGATTCCGCTGTCCAAGTAACTCGTGTTACTCGTTTCGAGCCATACAATGCAATGCACGTTTTTGAGCGCATGAAGCATGGACCGGACTGAAGGACGCGGGTGTTAAGGGCTCTCTGACGTGGTGGAGTGGACTTCGTGGTACCGGTGATAGAAGCTATATCTGGCCTCTATTCGTCATGAACTCGGTCGAAATCATCAGAGTTCCACTGTGAAGAAACGAAGAAGCTAGCCTAAGTCGATCTACTGTACAGCAATCAAATCTCCCACCATGGTTAACCACGATACCGTCGACCTGCCCGTCATCGACTTTGCAGCCCTCAGCGAAAAGGATGCAGCGGGCCACCGCACTGCCGTCTCCATCGATGAGCGCCGTCGACTCTTCACGGCCCTTCGCGACACCGGCTTCGCATACCTGAAGCACCCTGGGGTGAACCAGGTCACTGTGGACGAACTCTTCGCCCATTCCCGGCACTTCTTCGCCAAGCCGCTGGAGGAGAAGATGCAAATTCTCGGCAAGCTCGACAAGGGCCGTGGACCAAGCCAGGGGTACTCCAACCCGCAGAAACTGGCCCACAATCCCCAGACTTCGGATCTGAAGGAGTTCTTTGGCATGTATCGCGATGACGACACTGAGAAGCCCAATCAGTGGCTGTCCGACGCCGACTCGAAGGCCATGCGGACGGATCTGGTCCGGTTCTTCGACTCGTGCCACGGGGTCATCCTCGAGCTTCTGAGCGCTCTCGCGGAGGAAGTCGGTCTGGCCGCCGAGACGCTGCACCCGTTCATCAGCGAGAAGAATCATTTCATTGCCTGTTTGCATTATCCAGCCACCGAGCCGGAATCGTTCCGGACGAGGGTCCGCGCGGCGGCCCACACGGACTATGGATGTATGACGCTGTTGTTTAATGACTCGGGCGAGGGCCTACAGGTGCTGCGCAACAATGGCCAATACGAGTATGTTCCTCGTAAGGACGGGTGTGCGGTGCTGAACGGTGAGCTGTCCATTTCCCCATTTGCAAATTCTTGCAAACAGAGGAAACATGAGATACTGATTGAATTCCCGGGCCCACAGTCGGCGATCTTCTCTCCCGATTCTTCAACGGTGTTCTACCATCCACCATGCACCGGGTCGTGGAGCCACCGGCCACGAGGAGCGGCTCGTCCGCGGACCAGGTCCCGGATCGCTACTCGATTGCCTTCTTCGGGCACTTCAACCTGGATCTGCTGGTGAAGCCACTTGATGCGCTGGTGTCGGCAACGAACCCGGCCCGCTTCGAGCCCGTGGTGGCGGGCGAACATGTCAAGGCGCGCGTGAAGCAGTTGCATGTCGCGGGCCATAGCCTGACGGACAACGTGAAGAACGCCGAGAGCCGAGCTGCCGTGACGCAGCCGGCTGTTGCGAGTGCGTCGGCTTGAGTCCTGTGCAGCCGGCCGAGCTATACTAAGAGACGTGTCGGGATTCGCTATTCGATCAGTTGATGGAATGTATGATACAAATTGCAAAGTCGCATTTCATTCTTATTGCTGAACTGCCCATGGGTAACTAAGCAGGAACTAAAGTTTATCCACGAATACACTCATGAGCATTCATACAAGCAATTGCGTAAATCGTCATAAATCGTCAGCGTTACATTACAGACCCAGTACATCTCAAAATTTGATCCCGTCTGTATGCCCACCAGTGCCAAAGACGCAGATCCCGTCGGTCAATCCAACATATTCACGAAAATTGCTCCAGCGCACAGAGAATGATGAACGACCGAAGCTCATTGGAGTCGCCAAACCCCGCATTCGTCGTGAAATTCGCCCGCAGATAGTCCTTGGCGAACTTGGAGAAAAGCGACTTGAGCGAGAGTGGGTGATGGTGATTTGGGAGCTGCTCGCCCACGGCGATGTGCGGACCCGCGGCGGGACCAGCAGCACTAGCGGCAGCAGCGCCAAAGGTAGAAAAAGCGTCGGAGGTGCCCGGGGAGCCCGTAGGGGACGCCTGCTTGGCCATCTGCATGGCCTTGCGCCACTCGTCTTCGGTGCGGGCGCTCCACAGCGCTTGATTGCAGGGCAGGGGCATCTTCATGATGAGTTCGTCGTTGAGGGGCTCATAGTAGGGCAATTGGCGCCCGGACTCCAGATCGCGGTTACTGAAGAAGTTGACAATGTTGGCAAGGAACATGGTGCGGCGGGCAGTTTCAGTGACGGCCCATTTGACCCAGGAGCTATTGGTGTCGGTGTCGGGCAGGAGTGCCGCGTCGTGACACTCAAGGTAGGACCGCGAGAAACACTGCGTCATTTTGGAGAGGAAGGGTGACTTCAGCCCCCTTGTGCGTCGCTTTCGTTTCCAGCTCTCAGATTCGTTGATGGGCGCCATGCCCATCTCAAGGATCTCATAGAGGAGCATCGCATGCAGAGCGTCCCACTGCTCCAGACAGTGGTAGGTAGGCTGGCCAGTCTCTTTGTCAGCCCGCTGGAGGTAATCTCTCAAGCATCACCAAGGTGCTTACATATGACTCAATCAAGCTTTGCCGTTGCGCATCCATGGCTCGCTTGATATAGCCCACACCATCTCTGTTGCCCAAAGCACTTCCGCAGCATATGGCCATGGATGTGAGCGGAAGAATCGTCATATCTGGCATATCCTCATTGAACAGGGTGCGGTGCAGAAATGGACAGTAGAAATCATCCTGTAGCAGGAGTTTCGGGTACTGTAGGAGCAGACGCGCATAGTTGGCTGGGCGCACTCCCAGCACGTCTGGACTGGACAACGGTGCCTGAGGCGAGTCATTTTTGGCACCCTGTGAGCCGAGCCCGGTCAGCGAGGACAGATCGGGGATCCCTGAACCCGGCGGCGCGAGGGTCTCCTCGACCAGCGGATTGTACGACTGTTGTGATGAAGGCGAGGTCAGCGGAAAGGTGAAGCTCGGATGTCTGGTCGGGATCGCCGGCGTTGGGCCCAGAGTAACTTCGTTGACCATGCTGGTCGATGAGGAGGGCAGTGACGGGAGATTGATTGTATCCAGGGCCCAGAGGAAGTTCTGGGAGCTCCATGAGTCTAAGTTATCAGCGCCGGGATCGCCCAGAGGGCTCCGACGGCTCCACAGCAACGGGAGGTCGGTCGTGCTCATGCTGGTCTCATCGGGTTGGGAAGGGTCTTTGGCCGAGAGGGAAGAGGAAGAGGCAGAGGCAGAAGAGGCGGAATAGGCCGAGGCAATGGTAGCTGCTGTCTTGGCCATGGACATGTATTCGCAGACGATGCCCCGTTTGGCACAGCGCGAGCAGGTCGGTTGTGTGTAGCAGCATTTGGTCTTGGCCTGCACGCATGCATTACACGCCTTGCGGCGCATTGTGGGTTTGTCCGATCGCAGACACCGTCGTCGATGGCGCAAGAGGAGGTCACCTGGAATCCATCACCCCTAGATATCAGCACCAGATGCATGCAAAAAGATGGAGACAAGACAAACGTCGTTGGTAGCTCTTGAAACAGGAGTCGCACACGTGAGCCTCGTTGGGCGGCTCGGATCCTGGCATGGTCGAAGTGCGGCATCGAAGGGGATACCAGATAGGAAATGACAAGCAAGCGTGGGGAATGCCAGGTTTAAGTGCAATGTGCTATCCATTCACAGATTCGTGACAGGGAGCGAGCCATAGAGATCGACATGATTGTCTTCTCGATCCTTCTATGTCTGCAGCCTGGGGCTGGAAGGCAGGCAAGGGGGAAGGCATGGGTAGAAGAAGGACTGGATGAAACCAGGATTAGGATGAAAACATGAGGTTTGAGGCGCATTACCAGCGCCATCCCATGTGTGGTAAGGCGCGGGGCCTAGTCGCTTTGTATGGCGTGCTCGTGCTGGCATCTTATTTACATGAAGGACGACCAATGTAACCTCGCCTACTTGTCTATCTCCTGTGGCTGATATTCGTCTGAGCAGATACCAGTCCGTCGCAACCAATCACGGCCGATTACGGCGAGCCCGAAAACTATTACGTGCGAGGCGAGGTTATCTCCCAATTAAAAGCCCTGTCTGCATTCTTCACCCGACCTTAGTGCTGACGACGCGGTGCGCAATCAATCTATTTTATCACACAGGTGGCCTTATCGACCTTGATGGAAATGACCAGAATGATTTGATTGTGGTGATGACAATAAAATAAAACAACTTGGATTCACCCTGATCAAACGCGCATCAGAACCCACTGAGCCAGAAAGACGCGTCTATCCAACGTCTCCTCAAGATTTTAACGCTCCACTTGGAAAACGGTTCGGCCCGGTGAGAAAAACTTAACCTTAGATCTTGCGTGCCGTAAGCCATCGGACTTTGGGCGTATAGCCAATCTGTTTCATCTCCGCAACCAGCTCGTCCAGCCATGCGAGATACTCGTCGGGGGTGCGGGCCACGCCGGGAATGCCCTCGGCTAGAGTTGCGATGTCTCAGTCAGTAGGATGGCTATGCCCTCAGGCGTGGTACATACCAGGGATCTTACGAGCCAGATGGCGGAAGGACTGGGGGAGGAGCTCGGCGGTCCACATGCGGTCCTCGGGTCTCTTCGACGTTGCACCGTAGCCCAGATCGAACGTTTCCACCTTCATATCCACAAAGCCGAGGGGAAGCAGGAGATCCGGGAACTTCTTCCAGATGTGCACGTCCATCCCGGACGAACTGGTCGACCACTCCTGCACCTTGGCAAGCTTCTTCTGCTGCACCTGCTCGTCAGAATACGAGCTTAGGACCCATTCCGCCTCCACTAGCTGCAGGACCCCACCAGGTTTGACGACGTTGGCCAAATTAGCGAGGACCCGCGGCCACTCGTCCTCTCGAATCCCCCAGACCAACAGCCGCTGGTGTACCAGGTCGAAACTGTCCTTCCAGCCCCAGGATTCGGGGAAGGGCTGGCGCACATCATGCTCTCGCAGTTTCAGTCGAGGGTCCGACCGGAACAGCGCCTTGCCCAAGTCCACGCCGTAGAGATCCAGGTCGGGCCTGTGAGTGCCAGCCAAATCCGCTAGCCATGTGCCTGCCGATGCTACCTTTAGTTTCTTCCGGGGGTGGGCACCAATGATGGTCGATTGCTTTTACGATATGCAGGGGTTGCGGGTTACACTCACCGTCTGCGCAGCCAGAGTCGAGCACTCTGGCCCCTTTAGGTAGCTCGACAGAGGTCAGCTTGTCCTCAGTGGCGGCTTTGATGAAGAAGTGTTGGCGCTGCAGGCGCTTGATCTCCTCCTGGTGATGAGGGAGAAGGTAGACTCCTTCGGTCCCACTGAACTCGTCTTTGGTCTGGGTTTCAGGGAGCGGACGGTGAGCCGCGGTCGGTTTAATAGGACCCTCCATTTCTGGTCAATGTGGTACTGCGGTACAGCGATACTATTGAGTGTGTTTTGATTATCCCTGGTCAAACCTGTCTGTCTGTCTGTCTGTGCTCGGCATGGTGCCTGAATCTTTGTTATAAATGTTGCTCGCTGCTTTTTTCGTGACCTCGTAGGACCTGGAGTCATGGTGGCCGGTCCATCTTGCTCCGCAACAGGTACGGAATCTGTGAAGCCTCTGCCTGCCGAGGTCCACTCCGACCTGCGGTCTTTCTCTGTCCTTTCTTTTCTTCGGGGAGAGGAGTGGGGGGAGGATATGGTGGATCCGTTGAGAGGGACATGAAGAAGGGCTACGGGGAGACAGAAAGCAGCAGAATGGCTGATCGGCATGATCTGCAATACGCCATGCATTTCCATCATCAGGGGGATTGCCGGGTGACGATGTCGTTATCTGAAACGCCGCCACCAACAATCCAAACAACTCCGGACGTAACTGTCCTCGCCTCGGAGAAATGAGGTCGTGAAACGCTACACCCGATAACGTAAACTGTGGTCAACGCACCTAGCACTGATCCTCCGATGTCAGCACTAGCGAACATCTAGTCAATTCTCCGTAAACCACATGAGACGGTCTTCCGAGGGCGTCGAAGCGAAAAAAAACATGCATCAGGATCCTTCGTATGCAGCTAGTGGCTTTGGCGCGCCCCATGGCGGTCGTGGCACCCTGGTGGGGGTGGTAAACTACGGCGTTGACACTGGTCTGGAATCGTTGATAGACTAACAGGCCTAGGAATAGAATCTTCACTTTTTCACGTCATTTTGGGGCCCATTGGCGTTATGTCGAAGCGGCGCACGGTCCTGTGATTGATCGCAGTATAGGCGCCCTCACAGTGGTAGATCAATCGTAAGCGAAGAACCCTCATTCCGACGTTAGATGCCATAGTACGGGATGTTTTTGTTTTATTTTATTTTTATTTTTATCCAAGTAAGGCAGTTATGCCTCCCTCTAAGGTCGACCGGTCCTCATGCTGAAGTTACTACGCAGAACTGTATACATCAGGATGGGTGACGATGTGCATTTTGAGCCAGTTACTGCTATTCTATCTACAGAATCCGTCCCTGGTTAACCTGTGGGCAACGCAGGAGAGGAATGCTGATGACAGCGATAGATCAGAGAATGTGATGGATATTCCTATACAATGTATACATTTATTGTTCATCCATTGCTTTCAACCAAAAGGGAGTTGAAAAGAGTGATCATCATGCAGGACAGAACAAGGGGGTTGCTGGTACATTGTCCATGAGTCGTATCCCACAATTCCCGTAGGATCAAACCGATTGCACGTAATTTGGGACAGAGGAAGGAAACAGGCCATTGGCCACATCCTGCCCTGCCGCATGGCCCATCTGCTTCAGTTGCCTCCGATTGATCTTGAAGCCTGTCATGGGAAAGTGAGAGAGGCAACGGACACCGCCCGTCAGCTTCCGAAGCCCGGTGAGCTTTTGGTTGGCGAAGTGTAGAATGTCCCGCTCCAAATGGTGGGTGAGCTGGGGATTCTGATGATACTCGGGCTTGAGGATCACGAACGCGGTAGGCTCATCCAGCTGGGTGAAGTCATTGCGAATGCCCACGACCACGACACTTGCCACAGCGGGATGCTCAAACACCACGGTCTCCAGCTCCGCAGCGGAGATGTGCGTCCCGTAACCGCCCCCGACCTTCAGGAGCTCCTTGATCCGATCCATGATGAAGACGTTGCAATTCTCGTCGAGGTGCCCATAGTCCCCCGTGTGGAACCAGCCTTCGGAGTCGAAGTCGCGATTGGCCACCTCGTTGTCCTTGTAGCCCTTGAATCGACACAGCTGATTGCGCACCAGGATCTCGCCAGCCTCGCCCACACCCAGTTCCTGGCCGGTGATCGTGCTGATGACTTTGGCCTGCATTCCGTTCACGAGTGTGCCACTGTACCCACTGCGGCGGGAGTCGGCGTCGCGCTGGATTGCAATGAGCATGGTCTCGGAGGTGCCCCATTCGAGGTCCAAGTGAACGCCCCCGAATCGGTTGGAAACCGTCTGCCGCAGGTTTTCGTGCATGGGGGCGCCAGCCGTGAGGAGCCACTTGACACTACTGACGTCGACGCCGGACGCTTGGAAGTCAGTCCGCGCCAGGCGGGCTGCAATCGGGGTGTGATGAAGAGGAAGCTGACCTTTTGCCGGCCGATCACGTCGACGGTCGTCTCATCGAGGGGACAGTTCATGAGGACCACAGGGATCCCCAGCAGGATGTTGAGGCCCATGTTGAGCTTGGCGTTGATGAAAAATCCCAGTGACAGGGGCGAGAGCCAGACATCATGTTCCGGGTCAGTATTGTCCGGAATCGTGCCGATGGTACCTTCCATCGTAGCAATGAAATGGGCATGGCTGGTTAGTACGGACTTGACGTTCCCCGTGGATCCGCTCGTGCGGTTCAGAAAAGCATCATACTCCTCGGCGCTGGCCTCCGATTCTAGCCGGAAGAGGTCAGCGTCAGGGCGGCCGCGTGCAAGAAGACGCTCCAGAGATGCCCACAATTGGTTCGGGCTGTCGTCGAGCGTGATTAGGCGAACAGCGCCTGCCAAGTCCGTCGACACCTCGGCCAGGAGCAATAGGTCGCTGTCGGTGATAAGCAGCTTCACTTGCGACTGCACTAGTCGAGTCGCAATGTCCGTTTCGGACATCTCTTGCTGCACAGGGATGAGGGCCACCGTAGCTCCGGCAGCCAAAGCGCCAAAATAGGCGATTGGATATTGGATCTGCTCCCAAGCTGTTAGCCGCAAGAGCGGGACTAAGCAGAGATTACCCCCAGCATACCCTGTCCTTGGCGAAAATTCCGACGACATCCTTGGGCATGATATCATACTCCGAGCGAAGAGCATCAGCTAAGCGTCGGCTTTTCTCCTCGAGCTCTGCCAGCGTCAGGGTTTCACCGGTCTGGTCGACGCGGTAGAGCACTCGACTCCATGGATATGGTCGTCTGCCCTGGTGAAAGATGTAGTTGAACACATCGGTCTTGGGCACGGAGGGTAGAGGAAGTTTGGATTCAAAGATCATGGTTAACGCCGCCAAGCCAGTAGAATGAATTCGCAGGTGGGATACCTGGACAACAGTGAGATTCGTAACAGCTGTTGAAGTCTGTTGGTATCGTTGATGCGACCCCGTATCCTCGGTGTGGCTCCTGTCTTCTAAATTGTTGACTCTAGGTAACAATGTGATGAACGGAAAGCGATTAAATACGGGTCGAGGGTCGTATCTCCACTCTGGATATCCGCAAGTCCACAATGCCTATCATCACAAGGGCTGCCATGTGAAGAGGCGAAGCAGAGTCCTGATGGACCCACAGACACCGGAGTTGGTGACGGTCCCGATAGCTACCTTCTTCATGCCACGCCCTGCGTGGCAAGTACTACCTTGATGAGGCCTGCAGTAGACGTAACTCCGGCATTCTCTTTCTCTTTTGGTGGGGCTCACTCTCCAATTCGCCGTCATTTGTTCCATCAAACGGCGCTGGCTCCGGCGTGGTGTTTAGAAGGCCAAGGTCCGGTCCAGAACTATGAAGACCTGGCAAAGGGAGCAAGCGTCGGAGATGGCGCTGTGTCTGAACGAATCTCCCTGCCGATCAAGCCACTAAGTATTCTTCATCCCTCAAAACCCCATGTGTTGACAGAGCTAGTTGTGCCTGAAGGATTCGATCCCCAGCAAGTGAAACAGATGAGCACGGCAGGGCGTTTCGTAATGCACGGAAAACCGACGGAACGACTGCGAACTCCGTGAAGAAAGAGGATTGGGATTGAATCGGACGGCGCCGTGGGAGACTAGGGCTTTGATGGAGGGCAGCCATTGGCAAAGGTGAGGGAAGGAGGGCGGGTGGCTATGGTTCAATCGCATTCGGGCACCGGGGACGAAGGTAGGGCGGGCGTGTTACCATTCGAGATACGGAGACTTGTGAGAAGGCGCCGGGGAAGCTGGACGTAGTATCCTAGAATTTCATGGCTCTTAATCCCACTTCTGTGGGCTCCTGGTGTATCAGGATCGAGCTGGAAGCTGGATAGGCCCGTCGATCCAACGCACCGGTGATCAAGTTCTTGATAATATATTATCAACCACAGTACATCGGCACAACGTCTTTAGTATTGCCCCTTCTTTGAAAAAATGATACTGAGCATGTTGAGCCCAGACCTCCAGCTGGGAAAGGTGCCTCCGCCTAGCCAAAACGGCGTGGAATTGGGCTCATCGGATGCTTGGACGCCCCAGAGTTGGCGAAAGCGTCCGGCGATTGCGCAGGAGATTGAATACAAAGAACTCTTGGCACTCGAGGAAGTCCTGCGCACCGTCGCTTCCTTACCGCCCCTGGTCAGCCCGGTCAAGATTGAACTGGCCCGCAAACGCTTTGCGGCAGCGGCTCGCGGAGAAGCCTTCATCATCCAGGGTGGAGACTGTGCAGAGAGCTTCCAGGACGTGCGGCCCCTGATCGTGCAGCAGAAGGTGCAGCTGCTTCACGAACAGTCGCGGCTGATCAGTGACTCTCTGGGCCTGCCCGTGATCACAGTGGGAAGAATCGCCGGCCAGTATGCCAAACCGCGATCCTGTCCCTTCGAAACCTTGGCCGATGGGTCCCAGGTCTACAGCTTCCGGGGCGAAAACGTCAACGGGTTCCATCCCGACGACCGCACACCCGATCCCAACCGATTGCTGCAGGCATATTTCCACTCCCGGGCGACATTGGATCTGATGAAAGCCTGCCCGCCACTGCTGACGCCCCCGTCAGTCGATGCCATCGCTTCGCCGGGAAGGGACCTCTTCCGCACGAGCATCCTGGGTGAGCCGGGACAAGGGGCAATCTTCACATCGCATGAAGCCCTACACTTGCCGTACGAGAGCGCTGTCACCCACGGCCGCTATAACACGTCTGCCACGTTCGTCTGGATCGGCGAGCGCACCCGCCAGCGCAATGGTCCGCACATCGAATATGTCCGGGGGATTCGCAACCCGATCGGGATCAAGGTGGGGCCAACCATGCGCCCACAGGAACTGGTGGACCTGTTGGATATCATACTACAGCCCCAAGACCGGCACGATACCCAAGACGGTCGCGTGACAATTATCACGCGGTTGGGCGCTGATCAGGTCGAGACGGTGCTGCCTCCGCTCATCCACGCCGTGCGGAAAGCAGGCCACACGCCTGTCTGGATGTGCGACCCCTGTCACGGCAATACCAAAGTCACACCCTCGGGGATCAAGACCCGCTGTGTCGAGACCATTATCCGGGAGGTCATCCGCACATTCGAGGTTCATCGAGCCAATGGGTCGTTCATGGGGGGCCTGCACCTTGAACAGACGGGCGAATTCGTCACAGAGTGCGTGGACGCCTGGGACACTTATTGCGAGCGGGATTTGACGACGAACTACCGCAGCCTGTGTGATCCGCGACTGTCGTACATCCAAGCCTTAGCAGTGGTTCGGTCTTTCCTGGAACATGTCCGCTGTTCTACATCAAAAGCTCATGGTCTGTGATGGTACCGGTTGCGACGTTCTACAGTTTGGTAGTTGCTTTTTTGACACTCGGCTTGTGACTGTTGATTTATTGGAGGCAAGAGGGATACATGGTGTTACAGCAATCTATGATCCACGAACAGAGTTTGAATATAGCCCAAGCTTCCATTATAACCATGCATGATTGCTCCCTTGGTCTCAGCGCATGAAATAGTTTATTATTCACATACAGTCTGGTACATTATTTTGCTTGACTGGCTGCACTTTCCATAGATGCTGGAAGAATGAACTTAGGTGTCAGATGCCACCGTCATATTGCTTCTAACACATAAGTCGTACATACTGTGACTGACGCTCAGCATGAGCCGTATGGGCAGGTAGTTAACATATTCAAGAGAAGAGCAATATGTGAGGATCCTTTCTGTAGAGGACAATGACTGAACTGTTCGGTCACTGTGTCCCCTCTAGTGATCTGGTCAATACCTTTATTGTTCGTCGCACTGGACGGTAGTGAGCATCTGATAACCACCCGCGCTGCATCGGTCACTGGCACTGTATAATCGACATAATAGCTATCGGCAACACATCCATAGTGAGGGATGAAGCGAGGTCGAGAGTGTTTCTGGATTGCTATCTGGGCAAGGGGATACCAGGAACGCAGACGTGGAACTATACGGACGCCTTGCTATGCCTAAACCGGCAAACTTCAAGCCTTTTTGGATTGCTCTCTAGGCGAATAGCCTACTCCCATAGTGATCCTTTCCATAAGACTCTGCGACCCTCATTGACCCACCAAGGGACGGATGTCCCGACGATCATCCTGCTCTAGCGCCGGAGAAACGACCTATACGACCACCATCTCCGGGATCAAAAGAAGTACTAGTAGGTACTACAAGCTACGTCTATAACTTAAAATCCCTGGCCGTGAAGATGAGGCAGTATATCGTCCAGCAAATCTACACTGCCTGTGAAGATGAAGCACCTTGTCGCATTCACCCTCAATGCCGCTCTCGTGCTGGGCGTGGTTGTCCTGCAGCGGCGTGACGAGTCCACACAACAGCATCCTCTCATTGACAGCTTTCGTCATTCCCCAGGCATCGCAACCAATGACGCTCTTGTTCGCCAGTGCATAGCACCGGGCGTGGTCTGCGTCGACAAACATGGGGCCAACCTTCCTTATCCCTTCTGGCGGGATTCTCCAAACGGCACCTACGCCACAAACCTGGCGGACATCGAGTTCAACGGCGGCCGAGGCCAACCCAAGTCGACCTCCTGGGAGCATGTGGAACGAGCGGACTTTGTGGTCTTCGACGAGGAGCGTGGACGGAAACTCCTTGGCGAGAACCCCCGCGTGGACTTTGTCTTCTCCGTCAATCCGTGGGCGCTGCATGAGGCGCCGACGTACGTGCCGGGCCTCCACAAGATCTTCTTCTCGGAGCTATCGCCCATGCTGGAGCAGTTCGTCATCGATTTGAATGTCGACCCGCCCACCCTGTCCAAATTCCGGGCGGATCCACCTATCTACGTGCCCAACGGCGGGTTCTACTACGACGGCCTGATCTACTACTCCGTGGCCGGCAGCAGCCACAAGCACAAGCAGCGCCCCGGCATCGTCACCCTTGATCCATGGACGAATAAGTCATCCACATTGCTGAACAACTATTATGGGCTGACCTTCACGGACTGTGACGATGTCATCGTCGACCCCGTCACGGGCTTCGTCTGGTTTACCGTCCCCTATTACTCCTGGTGGCTCGAGGTAGCCGACACCCCGCCACAGCTCAAGTCAGCCACCTATCGCTTCAATCCTGCCACGGGGTCCACGGTCGTCGTCAATGACGAGATGCGCTCGCCGAACGGCATCGCCATGAGCCCCGACCGGAGACACGTCTACATCAGCGACACCGAGGCCGCGGGTCAATCGGCGCCGATTTCCCTCGATCTGCCCAGCCCCGGCGTGGCCGGTCTGCTGTTCAACACCACCGGCAAACGAACCATCTACAAGTTCGATCTCATCGATCATGGACACGCCATTGCCAACAAGCGTCCCATCCACTACGACGCAATCGGCACGGTGCCCGATGGACTCAAGGTGGCCCGGAATGGATGGGTGGTGACGGCGAGCGGGAATGGATTGAGCGTGATGGACGAGTATGGGGATATGATCGCGCGCGTGCAGGTCAATTTCACGGTGAATAACTTTGTCTGGTCAGATGTGGACGACTATCGTGAGGTGTGGATGGTGGGACAGGGAGGCGTTGGACGGGTGAGATGGGATCTCCAGGGGCAAAAAGCCGTTTGATAGCGTACTACTCTGCTAGCAAGTGTCGGAAATGTCAAATGGATGAGCAGCTATATAGAAGAAAAGTATTCATGACCTAGAGCTGACAAAGTAAATGTATTGTTTTATCAATAGACCGAATTATCCACCCCTCTCAGATGCCCGCTCGCTCCATCTCTAGGGAGGCTAGGGCAAACGCACTGGTCCCAATCAAGCTGTTCGTTGTGACTGCTCGGTGAGTATAATACTGCAGAGATTGTCATTAGCCAGAAGACATAGGACCTCGAAAAGGGGACAAAACGGACCTCGTAATACGGCTTCTCTTCATGCAAGCTGGCGATGATGCTCGTCCCCAGGAAATCCAGGGTGTCGTCCTCTTGCCTGCGAACGACAAATTGCTCAACCACATCTTGGTAGAGAGCGCGTGCAACAGCCAGTACGTCCTGAGATCGCACTGGATCACGGAAACCCGGCATCGGGCCCTGGACCCGAAGATACGAAGATGCACGGTGTTTTCCAACCGCCTCCAAAGTTGGCGAACGTCCCGACCCGGGCAAATGGCCTAGACGGACCCCCTTCGCCAGCACATACGCAATCATGGCACTGGCACTGGCTTCGACGAAATTCCCAGGCTCTCCCGGCCGATCCATCACCTGCCAGACGGCATAGCGACCCGTCTTTCCGGCGGAGTCCTCGATGGTTTCCACCGTCGCTCGGGCGAGACGCTGAAAGATTTCAAGGATGCGCTGGACGGTCTTGTCCTTGCGCATTGCATTCGCGTTGTCTTCATACTTGGATGCGATGATCTCCAGGGTGTCCACCGTGCCGATCAGGTACCATGCGAGACTCCGGCCCCACACAATGGGACTGGCGCCAGTGATCGGGTGCGCCCAGGGAGCTTCTCGCGATGCATCGTAGCCGTGCTTGATCAACCCCGTGGATGGCTCGATGCTCTGCTTGTAAAGAAGATCCAGCTGAAGCAGGGCGGAGTCGACGTTTAGACGTGGGTCGCCGTAGGTCATGCCGTACAAGGCGGCGAAGGGAGCGAAGCCGTACATGCCGTCGCTGTACGAGAGATTGCCGTACGGTGGGTAGGGGGCGGCGGATCGACGAAGTACCAGAATCCGGCGTTCTCGTTTCGATATTGCAGTTCCAGGGATTTCCGGAGGGCCTTGAGTACGTTGCGATGGAGTGGCTCATCGAGATTCATCTCCCTGGATGGTCGGGTACTCTAACGTCAGTCCTGGCTCATGTCAAATGATTGGAGAGATAGCTCTGGCACGAACATAATTGAACGACCGACACACAATCGGTCAAGCGACAGGTCGCGTGAGGATGCCGTCGCATTGAGGAGGTCCTCTATGTTGGCCTCCACGCTGCGACGGTGATAATCCGACCACCTGGCGATCTCTGCTGCGTCGCTGGACTGGGCGATGGCTGCTCTGAGCGCTTCCTGGAATAATCCCTGTGCGTGTAAGTGTTAGTAACCAGTACTCACGACCATGCCACGACAGTGCTGCACCTTCTGAATGACCCCCAACAGACCGTCGGCCGGATTGATTCCTTCGCCTCGCGCGATGACACTCTCCAGCATCCAAGTGGAGTGCTTCGGATGTCGGACGGCCTGACCAGGCCTGTCGGCCAGGACCAGCGAGAGCAAACATGACAGTGGATAGAGAATCTTCATAAGGCCGCTTGAGTAGAAGTTGACCATGAAATCGAGAATCAGCGTGGGTGACGGGCGGCCGTTGGTTTATGGCTGACCTACAGTCGCTTGACTCCGGGCAGGCCGGCCCTAAAAGCTGTCCCGGAGTTGGTAGTCGTGGGCCCCGGAGTTCGGTGGTTGGCTCCGGCGGATCGCCGTGGCTCCCAAGTCCGGTCTTGGACATGATGGTTGCATGCCACCGATGTTTCTTTAAAAGGAAATGCATTCCTCCTCCTCCTTCGTCTTACCATTGTGTTCTTTGGATCATAGTCCATTGCCAAACAGACAAGCGTTATGGCTGCTGAGTCGAACCACAGTCGCAGCGAGACCCAATCGGTCTCCTCTCAGGGTGGTCTCCCGACAGGTGAGTATTCTATGATCCTTCTGGCTGGATTTGGAACGAAGGAAATAACCATTCCCCACTGACAACAGGTACCATTCCTGAGAACGAGAAGTTTTCCACCCTGGATGATGAGAAGGGCACCAAGGACGAACATGTCTACATCGCGGATACCCTCCCCCTTCGACGCCAGATTCCCTTCATCCTGACTATCTGCTCGGCCATGTACACGAACCAGCTCGGCCTGGGCCAAACAATGGATATAGTTCGTATCATTGGGGACTGGTACGGAATCACTAATAGTAATGAACTGTCATGGTTAGTGGCTGGCTACAGCTTGACCATTGGCACCTTTGTCCTGATTGCCGGCCGGCTGGGTGATGACTTTGGACATAAGAAGATGTTCATTATTGGTATGGGCTGGTATGCGCTGTGGACTCTTGTCTGTGGTCTGGCTGTCTATTCCACACAGGTTCTCTTCATCTTCGCCCGTGTCTTCCAGGGAATGGGACCAGCTGTGACACTGCCCAACGCAATTGCCATTCTTGGCCAGTCATACGCCCCTGGGCCGCGCAAGAACATGGCATTTGCCTTCTTTGGCGGCAGCGCACCCTTTGGCGCCATCTCTGGCTTTGCAACTGGTGGCCTTTTTGCGCTGGCCTGGTGGCCGTGGGCGTACTGGAGCGCAGCCATCGCACTCACCTGTCTGGCTGTGTTTGCGGTCTGGTCCATCCCACCTCAACCAATGAGCACTACATCTAAGACTCTGACGGTGGGCCAGAAGATCGCACACCTGGACCTTCCAGGCTGCTTCACAGGCGTGGCCTCTCTGGTCTTAATCAATTTCGCATGGAATCAAGCCGCGGGGTTGGATGGCAAGAACCATATGTGTATGTGTGCCTCATCCTGGGGTTCCTATTTGCGGCAGCCTTCTTTTGGGTGGAACTACACTGGTCAGAAGATCCCATCCTGCCTCTTGCGGCCTTTAACTCCGACATTGCCTTTGTGCTGGGCTGCACCGCGTGTGGCTGGGCGACCTTTGGAATCTGGGTGTACTATGCTGCTGTCTTTGTCATGGAGCTGAACAAAGTCAGCCCGCTGCTCCTTGCTGCGTGGTACAGCCCGGTGATCCCCTCAGGACTCGGCTCGGCGCTTGCCGTGGGGAAGCTTCTCGGTCGTGTCTCGGCAGCGTGGGTCATGGTTATCGGCATGGTCGCGTACCTGATTGGGTCGATTCTCATCGCCACCATGCCAACGCACCAGATCTACTGGGGCAATTTCTTCTGGAGTGTGCTCATCATCTGTGTTGGCATGGACTCGTCCTTCCCCGCTGCGACGATTATCTTCTCTGACGCTGTGCCGCCCAAGTACCAGGGCATTGGCGCCAGTGTGGTCATGACCATTGTGAACTATAGTATTTCACTGGGGCTGGGCTTTGCTGGGACGGTGGAGCGGGAGATTAACAATGGGGGTCACACCTATGATGATAAGAAGAAGGGGTATCATGGTGCATTCTACTTCGAGGTCGGGTTGGCCGGTTTCGGCCTGATATTGAGTCTTGCCTTCTTGCTCAAGGATCACTTCCGCAAGAAGGCCAAGAAGGCAGCTGCTGCGTATGAGGACCGGAGTGCTTGAAGGGAAGGGAAGTCAGTTGTGGTCCAAAGTTCGCGTACTGCAGATGGGATGAATAGAGGATGAGTGAGAAGATTCTCGGTTTGGTCAACTTCACGATTGTACGTCTAGTCATATATCCCACTTTCCAGCTTGTGAAGAATCAACTACTACATGCATTAATATTACTTCATTTGGGCTCATCAGATGATAGATTAAAGGCAGCAGCAAAGGATAGATGGCATGGCAGTGGCTTTCTTTCCGATACGAAATAGACCTTTGACTTATAAACTTGGTTATCATGATGTTGCTGGACTTAGCAATACGCTAAAAGCATCTTTAGCCACAATTTCAGTCATGACACAGTATTCTTTCCTAATCAACAGATAAATTACTCAGGTATGACACATAGTACGAAAATATAAATATGATAGCGTTCATTCACTACCTAAGCTACCTCATCTCATCCCATTCAGGGAAAGTTCGACCGCTTCCACTTCGGGTCGCTGTTGAGACAATTATCGCGCACACTGTCAAAGAAGGACGTAAAGTCAAGTCTGGAGTACCGCTTCAAGAGCTCCTTCGACCTCCGAGTATCCACCGTACTGCGATCATGGACCTGATTGGGATCATCCTCAGGCCATGGCTTCGCAGGATCGATCTTGCGGAACACATTCAACCAGCTGTTGAAGTTGAACGGGCCGGCAAAGGCCAGCAGCCGCTCATTCTGCACATCCTCGTGCGTCAATCCCGCAATATGCAGCAGGGCCACGTCGGTGACATCGACAAAGTGCCGGGGAATGAAGGTCTGCAGGGGCTTGTAGTAATTGACGGGGTCATCGAAGAACTCCTTCACCCAGCGGCCAGTGCTGCCATTCTGCTGGGCATGGATGATGGGCCCCACAATGAAATCCGGTAGGACGGCGTTGACGACGAACGCGGGATTGTTTTCCTGGGCGAACCTCCAGAACTCCCGCTCAGTGGAGGTCTTCAGGGCGGCATAGACGTCCCAGCACCTCTCGGGTTCATACGGTGCCGGTCGCCATGCCCGCTCAATGCTGCTGTCGTTCCAGGTGTTGGTGTCAACGTGGATCTCTTTCTCCGGCTGCGGGGTCAGCGCAGCAATGGCGCTGCTGGTCAACACGAAGCGCTTGACGCTCGGTTCGTTGGCGGCGCTGTTCAGGATGTTCCGGAGGGCCTCCAGCATAGGAGTGATGACCTTGTTGGGATCGCTACCGAAGGACAGGTCGCTGGCCACGTGGGCGATGCCATCGACGCCGCGGATGGCATCGTTGAAGGCCCCCGGAGCGGAGATGTTCGGCACCACCGCCGTCTCGAAGGAGGCGTCTGGATAGCGCTTCGCGATGGCTTCGGTAATCCAATCCGCCTTCTCCTGAGATCGCACCGTGCCTCGCACCTTGTAGCCGCGCTCAAGCAGGTTGAGGGCAAGATGCGAGGCCAAGAAGCCATTCACACCGGTGACCAAGACGAGGCCACCAGGAGGGACAGTGGTAGGCGCAAGGGAACCCATGATTGAGTTTTGGATGCCTTTTGATCAGAATTGGAGAATGGAGAAAAGAAGCGACTGGCACGATGTACTGTGGAGTGTTCGGTATTCCAATCTGACTCTGGTCTGCCAATCGACGAGACGTGCCTTGATATATGTGCATGATGTCTGGTAGGAGCATTTCTGGATGAAGCCTGTAACAGTCCATTTGCTAGAGTACGAAAAATACAAGTTCAACAAGCGTACAACCTCAGCAACCGCGTTCTAGAGGCGGTCATGGCTGCTCCTGGGACTCCGGCGACGTCCAACTCCGATTGTGCGTTAGCCCCGGAGAAGGGGCCACTCTCGCAATCCCGACATGATTTGTAAATCCTCTTCACCTAGATTTGATTTGTCTCCGGCTTTGTCGTTCTTTTATGCTTCAAACTCCGAACACACCACAGAGGTGCTTCGTCCTGCTTCCACGGGGCTCCATGCTACTCCGGCGGCAGGAGGTTTTGGATGCCGTGGCTTAGAGGGACCCAGATCCATATCGGGAGGCAGGCGGAGCTGAATCTATCAAGGCCAGAAATTAATATCATCGAGCTGCATGCTCTGACCCTTTCACAAGTTCAGTTCTTCGGTTGAGAAACGATGTTCTGGCCTCTTTCGGCCCTACTGCTCCCTGCCCTTGCGGGTGCCTTTCGCCACGGCCACGCACGAAACAACACCTTCGACTATGTGATTGTCGGGGCAGGCACTGCAGGGATTCCCATCGGAACACGGCTGGCCCAGGCAGGATATGAGGTGGCCATCGTCGAGGCTGGTGGCTGGTATGAGGACTCGGAACCCATAATCTCATCCACTCCAGCCTTTGGTTTCGCGAACAATGCTGCCAATGACTGGGGCTTCATGGTCGAGCCCCAGCCGGGGATGGGGGGAAGGGTCTTCGGCTATCCCCGCGGGAAATGCGTGGGAGGCTCCAGTGCACGCAAGTGAGGAACCGCCGTCATGAACTTTGTTGGAAAACTTCCAATGCTGACTGATGATAGTGCAATGATCTACCAGAGGTACTGACCGTCCCATCCGCTCGTCCCATAGTAGCCAGCTGCTAAGAAAATACACCAGAGCCCCTGCCGGCGCATTTCAGAGATGGGCCGACCAGGTCGGGGACCAAAGCTACGCATGGTCTGAATTCGAGCGGTTTTTCAAAAAGGGCACGAACTTCACAGCCCCAGATCACGATCGCCGGGCCCACAATGCGACCCCGGGATACCATCCAGGCGCATTCTCGTCCGGCGGTGGTCCGCTGACGGTGACGTACGCCAACTGGGCCTCGCCGATCTCCAGGTGATAATCATCGCTCTCCTAATGTCGACTGCCAATGAAGGAATGGCTGACACCTCGCAGTTGGATCCAACGGGCTATGATGGCCGTTGGAATTAACGATGCTGGTGACTTCAACAGTGGTCGTATCATGGGTTCGCAGTATTTCGCGTTGACAACCATCCCGGAGACGCAGGAGCGCGCCTCCGCCGCCAATACATATCTGAAGGAATTTCAAGATCTCCCCAATCTCACCGTCTATACAGAGACATTAGCGAAGCGAATCCTCTTCGATGATACTAAGACCGCCACGGGAGTGGTGGTGGAGATGGCTGACCTGGAGCACACGCTCGCCATCGACAAGGAGGTTATCCTATCGGCTGGGGCCTTCCAGTCGCCTCAACTGCTAATGGTATCCGGAGTCGGTCCGGCGAGTACTCTGGATTCCCTCGACATTCCGATTGTCCATGATAGTCCGTACGTGGGACAGAATCTGATCGATCACGTCTGGTTTGGAGCGGCCTATCGCGTCAACGTCCCGACGTGGACCCAATGGGCCAACGATGCGTTCGACATGCTTCGGCTCTACGTCGATAATTATCGCCAGCATCGGCAGGGCCCCTTGACGGCGAACGCGGGCGACTTTGGTGCCTTCGAAAAAGTCCCCAGTCATCTTCGTGCCGCATTTACCCCGAAAACTCTCCAAGACCTGGCAGAGTTCCCGGAAGATTGGCCGGAAGTGGAGGTAAGCACCGCACCACCTTGTGAATCAAGCTTCCACAGGTCACTCATAACCAATTCCCAGTACATCGTCTCCCCAATGTACCTGGGCGATTTCAACGACCCGCTGGGCCGCCAGCCGAAAGACGGCTACCAGTACGCGTCCATCACCGCGGCCCTCGTCGCCCCCGTATCGCTGGGCAACGTCACAATCCAGTCCGCCGACACCCGCGATCCGCCTGTCATCAACACCAACACGCTGGGCTCTCCCACCGACCAGCAAGTCGCCATCGCCGCCTTTAAGCGTCTGCGAGAGATCTTCGAGGCTCCGGAGTTGGCGCCCGTTCGCCTCGGTGACGAGTATTACCCAGGGAAACATTCGGTTCGGACCGATGCGGAGATCTTACAATTCATCCAACAGAATGGCCTGGCTTTCTACCACGCCGGGTCGTCGTGCGCCATGGGGGATCCTGAAGCAGTTAACAGCACGGCTGTGGTGGACAGCAAGGCACGGGTGATTGGCATCAATGGTGTGAGGGTTGTGGATGCTGCGTATGTCATGGTTCCTCTGCACGCTGCGTGACCCTACATTGTGTGTGATACTCATATCATGACAGGACTTTGCCGTTCTTGCCTCCCAGTCATATTCAAAGTGCAATCTGTATGTCCATTGATCTGTCCTGATGCTCCTCCAAACATGTGCTGTATCCACTAACCCGCTTGTCTCAGATGCCCTGGCCGAAAAGATTGCTGAAGAGATCATCAATGAAGAAGCAAATGAACCTGCACGAGTGGAATTGTAACCGTTCCTTTCTTCATTTTCTTTTTCTTTTTGAAGCATATTGTTGTTCCTTTTCAATAAATAGGTAAAAGATGAGTCCCTTATAATCCTGATTAGCATCTGTTACTAGTCACCTGTATTGTAAAAATGGAGTTTCACTTGGTATCATTCAGGACTGCCTTTTCGAAAACATGTGTAGGAGAGCTATGCTTTAGTTATCATCTCGAGAGACGTAGGCATTGAATTCTTGTCAGACATATACTTTGTTGTTGGAATACTTAACTAGCTGATTTGACTGTCGATGGCCTCAGCTTGTGACGACCATGCTTTACTTTGACATGTCAGTCCATTTAATGGCTTTAACACTTTTGACTCTTTTCATCAGAATGGCAATGATTGGTCTGACATGACGAGCAAGCGCGGAATTGGCAAAGAGGACTCCCAAATTCATCAGAAAGACGGGCGTCTCTGAAGCTAGAGGCCCACTTTCCCCTGAGCAGAAACGATATTTCGTCCTGTTATGAGTCGAGGGAGACAGGTGGGATCACATAAGTGCCGAATATCTCGGCAGAAGGAAGAGTACGCTTCGGACGGCTTATTATAAGGAGCTGAAGGGCTTGCCAAATCCAGTCTCCCAAAGTAAACAGCGAATTTGCAGCCTACGCAAAGCATCTGAGGCAGAACACGAAAGCTTAAGGTGACTTTCAGGACGTACAGTTGTAAAGTCGCCGAGACCATGGCCATTCTCTCCAGATCTTATATATGGTGTTGGTTGTAGGTTGTCTTCCATTGAGCAGGGGTGGGTATGAAGTGCCATGAGCTGAGTGGCTTAGAGTAGCACAGCCTTGCATCAGCCTTCCTGAGGTTTGCGCCCTCTGATATAAGCTACAATCAACCAGCCTTGCCAGCAATTCAGGCAAATACCCCGCCTTTATGGTCGCGCTATCTATATTGCCCTAGTACCCATTACTCCCCCTCTATAATCTCTTACCAGTGCTTGAATCTCCAGAAGATAATATCTGGTGAGTTGATACTTCCATCGAGACCTGTATAGTCACCTAATTTGGTCTAAGCAGCAAACAGTGGATATAACCTGTTTTGAGAAGCTCAGAAGGAGGAGGGGCGACCTTCTGTCCTATATGACTACTGTAAAAAAGCTCTAGAACAGGGCCACAAGGATTGCATATGGATTTGCATGAAACGCGGTGGAAAATGGATTGCCCAGGACATAAAACTGGAGGAATCATCACTTCCAGTACAGATTAATGAGCTGCGAAAGATCTTCAGTTGGTGGAAACAGTATTCCTTCTACTCCGCCGTTGGAGTAAAAGAGATCATGGTAAACAGAGCCGTTACTATGTCCCTTTTGGTTCATGCAGCTTACAGTCTGGCTAAACAGATACGCTTTATGAGCTATGACCCCGCAAAGAACAAGATATTTGTGGTAGTCACTAACTTCAATTACAATGAATTATGAAGCAACATCGCGGACTCCATTGACCTTGCCTTTGAAGGCAGGTTCAAAACCGACACATGCGGTGTCCACATCTATGGCAAGAGCAGCTGTGAGGAAGCAGGATTCTGCCCAAATACCAGATGGGATGGAGTTAGTTCCACATATTGTGTTGCTACACATACCCGTGAGTTATCCTTGCAGAGGGATAATTACAACTTCCTGCCTTCAATGCTTAAGTACTATTGGCAGAATGGCATTGAATTAAAGGCTATAGAATTCCTACAGAATAGTAAGTATGTTACAAGTTACAGGTCAGTCGCATAGGTTATTGTGTCAATGATGCTTCCTGACAGTCTGGAACAGGTATCTTGAAATAGACAAATACTTGGATGCCGTGAATCCGTACGGGAAAACAGTATATGCCTTCGCAGTTATTGAAGGATGGCATGTTCGTTACATACTGTTATTGCTCACAGCTAGCATATTTTGCAGCATCTCTGTTGTTGCAGTTGCAACTGCTGTTAGCCACAGCTTAGAATGCGGCTTAACAGCTGGTAGTTACGCGCTCGGAATCGCAACTGTTCTTTTAGCAATAATGACGTTTCTTAGTGCTGTTCTTTGACACAGTTTCTTCATCTATGGTAGCGAGAATTCAAGTCCGCAGTCAGCAGTGGAAGCCGGAGAAGTTCCACATAAATGTCTCAGCAGGGTAAGTATGCATAAAGTTGAGTGTTTATACAACCAGTGAGTTGCATGAGGTTATATAGCAGGGCAGTCATGAAAGAACCATTTACAGAAGTCTAGGGCTCTGAAAACAAGAACTGTGGCTCTAATCTTTTGCATAGTGGCCGTAACCATCTCTGGCACTCTCTCAAGTTTGCTCACAGATGGATGAATAATTTTTTTCCCTTGCTGCTTTTTGACCGAGTGTATTATTAAGTGTCAATAAGTGTACTTTGTTTATTCAGTAATTCTACCTGGAGACTTGAGGCACGGTAAACATGTCTTCCTCTGCAGAATAGGTCTTTACTTGGAGCTACTAGACAGTAACCAGTATGATAATCTGTAGCTTTGCTTTTCTGCCTACTTATATTTGCAGTATCAACATCCCTTCATCATGCTGTCCGAGAACGATCAAACTTGATCATCCGCATGCTCTTAATGGAGAAGAGCCTCGATCCCAATGTTATTAACCATTGGGGCTGGCCTCCGCTCGGTCAGGCAGCCCATCAGGGCGATGTCAAGATTGTGGAATGGCTGCTGTCTAAGTGAATGCAACCAAAATAAGCGAACAACCACCACTGTGGTTAGCTGCGAGGCACCGCCATATCCGAGTGGTTGAACAGTTGCTGGAGTGCCGAAATATTGATATTAACCAAGGATGGGGCAGGTACTTTCTGCCACTATTAGCTGCCATCTTTGCAGGCCACACAGATGTGGCCATGCGCTGCTCACCTGCGGGGACCAACTAGACATTAACACGCAAACCTACAAGAAGGAATCCGCACTGTCTCTAGCCGCCCGCAATGGGTATCTGCAGGTGGTCAATACCATCCTACAAGACCGTCGGGCGGACTGCAACAGCGTTAACAATCAAGGGTGCACCACTCTGTGGTGGGCGGCTCACAAAGGGCAGACCAGCATCGTGAGACGATTGCTTGAGGATGCCTATCTGCAAGTCAACATCAAGGATAACCAGGGAGTGGACGCTCAAGAGGCCGCGCGGAGTAATTATCATTTTAGTATTATAAGCCTCCTACAGGCTCACTGAGTGGGTCATCACCGCGGCAATAATCTCTAAATCTAGCCTGCCCAGCCATGATTCTTCATACAAGTTAGCGCTCTTAACTTTGGTTGGAAAGAGCTCATCTGGAATACATCAAATGTGAATTATTAAAATAGAGCCAGCTTCTGCTGGGATAGTTGTGCATTAGCCATTAAGGGCCAGGAATGAATGAAGCATACCATCCAGAAGAGTATATTTAAAACCAGGCAATGCAAAGGGTATGCCATTCTAGGGAAACACCACGCGATGACGTGGCATGAGAGGCCGCTAAGGTACTTATTTGGTGCGTCGACCAGCAGAAGGTTTCGCTCTAGTTCAAGCACAGAAGGGACACTAAGGAGCTGTCTTAGATCACTGTCTTCTTTTCTGGCGAGGCCACTCTTTATAGATACTTCAATATACAACCATACTCTTTGTTGTGCTGAACAGCCCATCAGGTTAAGCAATTATAAGTAGTAGAACTAAAATACAAGTAAATGACATTGTTCATCCCCCATCCCTTTTCTGTAGTAGTCTTTACCACACCCACAGCCCAGGTCTTTGCTGGTCAACAGGTTGAAGGACCAGCATGGCATTTTATTTGGGTTGCCTAGTGGCCCACCTTACAGATCCTAGGTCACTGCACAAGTGGCCTAGCCCGTATCTACCTTCTTGTATAATCTACCCAGAGACCATCACTTGTATGGGATGGGAGTTAATATTTATTAAAGATGGTGTGATGCATGAAAAGGCGAGGAAGAAAGATTAGCTGAGACTTCATTAAGCACCTTGGGGAACCACAAGAATGAGGCTACACTAAAAGCCACTGATAAAAAGCAGGTTAGAAGAAGAGGTAGAGTTCCACAGACCATTCCCAGGAGTATAGACTGTATGACCACCCTAAAATTTAACTAAGTACTGCTTTAAGGTGCAGCGAGCGGGAACTAAGGTCATTACAGAAATAATGCACACTCTAGGAGGAAATTAGTTAAGCCCACCAGGGGAATACCATCACTTAGAGCAACTGGTTAGGAAAGGTCATTTATTAAATAGTCTTACTATATGAGTTTTGCGCATCCAAACTGGACACCAGCTGCAGGCCACGTGACCTCATACTAATCAATGTAGTAATCTGTCCAGTCATAATAATCCAAGATCTAATGCTATTCATATATACATTAAGGTTTAAAGTAGAAGAGAAGGAACTTTCCCTTATAAAATAATATCTTTTAAATGAGGAACAGCAAGCCCTTAATAAAGAGAAAGATGCTTAACAGCTTCAAGATACCCTTAAGCTAATTAGTAATAATAAAGAAGATGATGGCCTAGAGATTAGTATAGACTAGCTAGCTACCTAGCAGCTATCTAAGCATGCACAGGGTAAGAGATAAAGGAGTATGGTATCTAATAATAAGTAAGAGGGCTAGGAACCTTTTCTATTAGATAATAAAGTAGTTCTTCCCTTACCTAATATGTAATAGTGTATCTCTAGATGAAATCAGAAGTATATAAGGCATAAGGATGATTAGTTCCTTCATTATTAGTTATTAGTGTCATGGGCTAACCTATGACATGTACCACATTATGTATACAGCTATAGTTATATAGTGATAGTTAATTATTATAATAATTAGTATATTAGCTATATATACTTAGCTTCTCCTTTCTTCAGCAATAGTTAGAGTATAGCCCTATACTAGGATTCTGGCCTGCCTGTATTTATATATATAGTTTAAATACCTATAAATATAAGATAAGACTACATAATTAATGCATATCACATGATCTGTGACGTTTATCTAGTTTATCTACCCAGCTGGGTTACCTAAAACCCAGCTAGGTTCTATATAAAAGCCCAGAACCTAACTCAGAACACACCCCTTAAGCCCAAAACCCAGCCCAAGTTAGGTTTAACACATGTTTCAGTTAGGTTACCCGGAACACCTGCCTAGGTCTAGTTGCAGCTAGATATTAATAAGTGTGAATTTAAGGTGAAAAGTACAAAGTACCTTGGGTTCATAATAGAGGCTGGTAAGGGTGTACTAGACTGGTTAAACCCAACCCGGGAACCCTAACCCAACCCGGCCTAAACCCACCATGGGCCGGGTTTAGAGTTGCATTTGGTGCGGGTTCGGGCGGGTTCAAGCCTAGTTGGCACCAAACCGCTGCGGTTTCGGGTTCAAAATTTAGAACTCGCACCAAACCCGGACCCGATGCGATTCGGTTGCGGTTTTCACCGCAAAACCCGCTGCTAGGCCTATACTAACTAACCATGGTTAGATTCGGGTTGGTCTCGGGTTGGTTAAACCACTAATTCTAACTGTTTTAACCCTTACCATTCCCCCAGGGCCCCCTTCAGGGACCCCTCTGACGCCCCTATTAAGCATGCTTATATAAAATTATGATTTTTATATGAAATATATGGTAATTATCCTCATGCTAATCTAGATCTAAAATATGAATTCAATATCTATAGGTTTGAATGGGTGGTGGTTAAAAAATCATTTTTAAATATGATTATTGTCAACAGTCAGTTGCATATATATAAACTACCACTATTTTCATACCAACCTATGATAGAGATGAAATTCCCTTATATCTCAGCAACCACCAGGTATTTTTAATTAATATTGATATCACTAGATAGCCTGAATCAAAGGCTATCTAGTGATATCAGTATTAATTGAAAATATTTAGAATTCAGTGACTTCTAGGTAAAACGGTGCGGGTTGGTTAACCTAATCCGAAAAAACTGCAAAAACCGTAACCGGCGGTTTTAACCGAACTCGAAGCGGTTCCACCCTATGGAAACCGAAACCAGTGTGATTCCCTAGGCTTGCCCCCGACCCCGCACCGCTGCGAGTTCGGTGAGGTTTGGGTTCGATTTTTGCGGTTCGGTTATGCAACTCTAGCCTGTCATTTAAACAAAGCTACAGCATGTTAATATATATTAACACTGGCTTCAATAAGATGTCCAGAACGGCCAGATGTCTGTTAAATAGATCAAAACAGCCCATATGCCTGCCGACGGCCTCACCAAGATGCTTCCCCGCAACAAGCATCAAGAATTTTACAAGATGGTTGGCCTAGTCAGCAAATCAGGAGCCGCAATTGACTAGGAGCCTCAACCTTAATATTACTTCGCCTCACTTATGCCTCGCTTAAGGCCTACAATTGCTCTGCCTTCCTAATCAGGCAATTAAATTGATTCAGCTCACCATATCTGCTGAGCTAGGGGGTTGTTTTGATATAGATTACTGCTTGCCTGATTAGGCCTATGGATGGACCTTCCCGATCTTGATTAGATCGATTACACTCTTTTATGGCCGATAATCGGTAGTTACCCCTATCTGGATGCCTGCATCCGACGGTATAAAATCTAGCTAGTCAGACGATAGATTAGAAAGAGTTGTACCTTCCGAACTTTATCATTGGTAGCAAAATTACTAGTGATAGCGAAATCTCATACGGTTCTGCGCTTTCCAACAAGATGTGATGAATGTGCAGGCATGCAGATTGGAATAATACTATTCTCAGTGCAGATTTGATTAAACTGAGGTGTTGGATGACTCGCATGGCCATCAAGAATTAAGAGTTGAATTAGCTATAAAAGCTCAGACACTGGCACATTCGTTAAATGACCGCTGCATCACTTCTTGTTTTATATCAAATACCCATTTATGTTAGAGACTTTCATGCTTGTAATTATCGACTTGTTCATATCACAAAACGGGAGGAGACATGAAGTATGATGAGTAAAAGTGCAAGTGGTAAGCCCTAAGTATAGTAATCATCCATTGCTCTATTCAAGTTGATGTCGAAGATAGCGGATCAACAAAGCGAATTCCATAGGGTAAAAGCAAGGAAAGTATAGGTAACTAGTTTCGCGGCCTTTACCAGATACTCCCAGAACATATGCCGCATCAATCTCCGGAACTTTTCGCGTAGTGCCTTCCTTTCGTTGCCACGAGGCATTGGGACTTGCGGAATTGGAACACCGAGGAACCTGCATAATGGTGTCCATCCTTCTTCGACATGGTAAAGAAGAAGTCTGCTTGAGGGAACCAGAGACTGCATTGCTTTGTAGTGCTCTTCAAAAGAATAACGAGCATTCGCGTCAAAATTGCCCTTGAAAAGTATTTGCCAGGACTTTCGGAAGGTCGGTCGGATCCAGCGAGTTCGCATTAAAAGAATATTGTCCATAAATTGGCAGAGATATTGATATCTGCCAGTAACAAGGGGAACAATAGTCTGCTTCACGGATCTGAGAGATTCGAGGAGATTGTGCTTTAGCTATGAACAGGTATACGACATAAGGCATTGAAATCGAAGGTTGTCACGTACTGATGCCATTCGTCAACATCCCGATATGTCAAGATGACCTTCGCATCCGGATATGCATTGACTAAGTCCTCTGCAAGACAGAGCGCGGGAAGAGCGAAAACAGCCTGTTTGTGAAGAGTTTGCTTAGTGGAAACCTCTGAAGTACTCACGGCTATGGGGCCCTACCTGGCAATGCCCTAGCAGCTTATCAAATTCTTCGCGGCCAAATACTTTCCCTATGCCATCATACTTGGCACAGAGGGCGGCGTACCACATTTCGCAGTCCCTGGGATTCTTGAAAATTGCATCGTACCCGTGGTAAGCGTCATAGTACCCAAGATATTTAAGCGCGCGCATGAGCGCTACGTATATGCCCGGTAAGCACAGATTGAAAAATTGTAAAATGTATTATACTCACAACAGGTGCCTGTGCGTGGCATTCCTAGTACGAGTATCTTCATCGGGACTTCGCGTGCACAAAGGCGACGGTTGATGTCCGTAGCATGAAATGAGCAATCAGATAAGTCGTTCTTTTGCATCTTAAAATGTATTGGGAAATATGGGAGGAACAACTCGCCACAGGTTGAGGTGGAAATAGGCAGAGAAACATAATGCTGCCTCAAAGAATTGGATGTATGTCACTTATAAGTCTCAAGTGGAGTCGCTGGATTTGGCCCTGAATGTTAGGATGCACTGAGTTCAGTGTTGCATCTGGGGGGCTTTCCTTAGAGTTTCTGCAAAATCAGGAATTATGCAGGACTCATACTTTCTCTGAGACAGCGGGTCCTGTGTTCAATAATTGCTTTAGGATAGTTTATGATACTTCTCGTTTGTTTGGATTTAGTGAAATCAGGCGAATGCAACGTGGCTTTCCTAAGCTAATACATTGACAGCAGGCCAAGAAGGGTTATGACCAGAGACTCTTTCCACATTCAAGGATTATGTACAGAATTCCAATTCATCAGGTATTCGCTGCAAGCGTCTGGAGAACGGAGCTCTATCGTGACCAGTCATTGGTATGTGAGACCCTCGCAGTAAATTCTCTTTAATTCAGGGTTGCACGCCCAACCGCAGCGCGACTGGAATGTGCGACCAGAAGCATTGCAACATTTTACGCCTTCGGATGCATAAGAAGCTTGGAGTATATAGCGGTTCCACTGAGATACTGCCTGCTTGCGCTCATGCGGCCGTGACCAGACGATTAGCTGTGATATCATGATAGGGTCTCCATCTGCGATGGAGTTACCAACTTACCATCAGTTTGGTTGGGTCGTTCAGGTGTCCTGGTTATTTAGGTATACTGATTGAATCATTAAATATTAATTATGTGGGATAATCATTCATCGCAGTGGGCGTAGAGCCTTCGAATCGTGCGAGGGTAGGGGGTAGGCCAGTGGCCGCCCCGTACATATCGCCATGATATCTAGGGATTCTAGCCCCTTTTATAATTTGACCTAAGTTATGAAGGGATGTAAGGGTCTAAATAGCTACATACATAACGATTACGACTGCCAGATATCGCTGCACACCTCATAGATTCTGTTACGACACCAACACAGCCGCATTAGCGCAAGGCGGATGTGGCAGGCAGAACCGAAAAGAACTATTGATCACCAGTCGATCCCGAAGGGATCACTGAGCGATCTGGAGGAATGATACATTGACATGTTGCCATAGCAACTACGGTTTACTACATTTGGGTAGGAGATTCGTTGAGGTAGTGGCAATAGGTAATACGTGCGGCGAACAGTAAAAAAATCCAAAAGTTCCTTTTGTACAAATAGTCCTAGACTGGTCGTGGGTTGGGTTTGGATGGATCCGCAGGGGGTTCAATCCAACCCAGATGGGTTTTGGGTTAACCCATGACATTAGTAACCTGCCTTGAAATCCATGCAGGTTGGATTGTGGATACCTATTTTACCTATATCATGCATGTGATTCCAGTCTATACTACTTTTAGTAGGCAGTAAGATCTCTTATTAAGAGAATATTATAGATAATCCATAACCTAAAAGTCCATAAACCCATTAATATTACCAAGTGACTGGCATGGCGGGATATTATATTTTAAAATTTTAAAATCTCATTATTATATTTCACTTATTGATTTATGCAGCCTTTACTTGTTATAATATTTACTATAATACTTAGAGTTGCATAACCGAACCGCAAAAATCGAACCCAAACCTCACCGAACTCGCAGCGGTTTGGGTTCGGTTCCTAGCCTAGGGAATCGCACCGGTTTCGGTTTCCATAGGGTGGAACCGCTTTGAGTTCGGTTAAAACCGCCGGTTACGGTTTTTGCGGTTTTGCGAGTTAGGTTAACCAACCCGCAACTGTTTTACCTAGAAATTACTGAATTCTAGATATCTTTAATTGGTATTAATATCACTAGATAGCCTGAATCAAAGGCTATCTAGTGATATAAATATTATTCAAAAATACCTGGTGGTTGCTGAGATATAAGGGAATTTCATCTCTGTCATAGGTTGGTATGAAAGTAGTGGTAGTTTATATATATATGCGACCGACTGTTGACAATAACCATATTTAAAAATGATTTTTTAACCACCACCCATTCAAACCTATAGATATTGAATTCATATTTTAGATCTAGATTAATATGATGATAATTACCATATATTTCATATAAAAATCATAATTTTATATAAGCATGCTCAATAGGGGCGTCAGAGGGGTCCCCGAAGGGGGAATGGTAAGGGTTAAAACGGTTAAAATTAGCGGTTTAACCAACCCGAAACCGAACCGAATCTAACCATGGTTAGTTAGTATAGGCCTAGCAGCGGGTTTTGCGGTGAAAACCGCAACCAAATCGCATCGGGTCCGGGTTTGGTGCGAGTTCTAAATTTTGAACCCGAAACCGCAGCGGTTTGGTGCCAACTAGGCTTGAACCCGCCCGAACCCGCACCAAATGCAACTCTAATAATACTATCTTTATTTTCATTATTTTTATCTAATTAAGAGAGTACAGTCTGTGTGCACATATAGGTTCATTAGATATTAGGGGTAACTAGTGGGACTGTGGGAATGTGGGATAATTATTCATTATAGTGGGAATAGAGCCTTTAAATTATATGAGGGTAGGGAGTAGGCTAGCAGCTGCCTTATAGCATGCCTTATTAATATTAAGGTGTTTAAGCAAATCAAGCTCCCTTTTATATCTCTACCTAAGCTATGAATGAATGTAAAGATCTAAATGGTTATATATATAATAATGAGTTAATAATAACTAATAGATATCTTCTGCACACTTTATACACTTTCTTGAAGCTATATGCATACCTATTAATATCACACTAGTAAGGTAATAATATAACTAAAGGCCATAGCCTACCTTACTGCTGCTCCACAATGTATCCTAGGAAATACTATTATATTTATTAGGGAAAGGAAGGATTGATAACTAAGAAGTATTATTAGTCTAGTAGTAAAGTTCTTTTTATTATTAATAAGGCACACATTTAATTCTTAGATTATATAATTACTATTTTTTTTACCTTCCTTAACTATGCTTCCTTAATATAAGTATAATTCTTTAATTTAGCATTCTACCACATAATATGATGGTCTGAAGGATATAGAACTTAGAAAAGAGAAGTAATATACTCTATAAGAACACCCTTTTTTAGGATAATAAACTGTCTAAAAATTATTAATATATATTGCAGAGAGAGTGTAATATTTACTATTACTATAAGGGTATACCAAAATATATATAGCTACCTAGATAATAATGCAAATATTTATATGTATATAAAAAGTAGTTAAACTAAAAGCCTTATAAAGCAGAAAACAGAATATATTAATAAAAGTTATACTTAAAGCTCTTAATCTCTTAATAAGAGATTTAATATATCCTGCTATCTAGATTCTAGAGTAGCTTAGTAGTTAATAAATATAACCTCATCATATTATTAATGATTTAATGCACCCATTCCTAATAACTATACTCTTATTAAGAGATATTACTAAGTAATTATATGACTATAAGAATATAAACTTCCTTTATTTATTCACTTATTCAATGAGTTGAGTATAATATAAAGAAAATTCTATTCTCTATTAATAATATTCACTATTAGATATCATTATTAGGGAGATTGGATGATACTAGTATTAAATATATTAATTAGAATGCTCTGTAGCCTTGCAGAACCTTATCTTCTGTTTATTTATAGATTTTATAAAATTTAACTTTCTTGGATCTCTCAACCCTAATATTATTTATTAGCTACTTTCTCCTTTACTATAAAAGAATATCCTTATCCAGCCTAGATCTCTTATTAAGAGATTTTCATTTATTAATTACCATCCACCCCATCTTAAACTCTCTTATTAAGAGATTCTTATTTATTAATTACCATCTACCCTGTCTTAAACTCTCTTATTAAGAGATTCTCATTTATTATTTACTATCTACCATATCTTAATCTCTCATTAAAAGATTTCTATTTATTAACTGCCCTTACATTATGTCTTAATCTCTTATTAAGAGATTTTCATTCATCAAGATGCCTAGGGGAAAGAAGAATTCTTAGAAGAGTAAAGCTGCTAGCCTAGAAGTTACTAAAGTTAAAATACTAACTAAGGATGCCATCACAGTAAATCTTAAAAAGTATTTCCTTAGAACTATTATATTTAATATCAGACATCTTAACATAAGTTAGAAGAGAGGACAGAATTAAACTATTAGTTAAAAGCATGTGAATAACCTAAAGGAAGACTTTAAGACTAATATTAGATAATTTATAATTAAAGACTAGCTATGGGTGACCCTCCTGAGGGGAAGTTTTAAAGAATATATTAAGTAGGTTTTCTAAAAGACTAATAATTAAAAGGACCCAACCTAAGTAGAGCTAGATAAGCTTATAAAAACTATATAACTCTGGATAACTCCTACCATCATTATAGATTGCCCAGTGGTAGGAATCCCACTACTAATACTCTAAGCTAGCTAACACCAGCGTGCCACCCTACTAAGTCTATGCAAAGATGGTACTAAAGTAGTACTAGCAGGAGTAGTTAACCATAAGGGGGACCCAGTCTATACCCTAGATGGCTAGGTATGGAATCTCCTAATGAGAGATTTCTATTATAACTAGCTAATATAGTGTAGGCCTACCTATAGGCATATAATGTATGGGATGAGGATAAACTTAATAAGTTGTTATTATATAGACTATAAGCTAATTAAGAGCATATCTTTAAGATAAATATAAATGGAGAGTTAATATATGCAGTTATTAAGATAATTAAAGATATACCTATAGATAACCTAGTTCATGAACTTTAGCCTTATTTATTTAAAAGATGGGTTAAGCCTATTTTTAGTCCTTTATTAAATAATACTGTAAGACTACTGGCTCTGCTTTGCCATGACTAGTTTTAAGAATATATTAAGTTCTTTACTATAATAAGATATGGGCAGTATAGTGCTTCACTTAGATGTATCTTATTAATAATTTATCTTAAACTAGACTTTGTAAGTGCGGGTCAAAAGAATTACATAGTAAGTAGATACTAATTCTCTTAATAATAGATTTACATGCTATATTTCAAAACTTTCTAATTACTTTATAATAATATCTTTAGAGATGCGCCCCACTTGGTTAGTCTAGATAACTAGAATAGAATTATAAAGGTTGAAAGGAGGTAAAACTGCTGGCTAATATAGTAATAAATGCTCTTCTTTCTTAAAAAAGAAGACTTTTAGGGATGTAATGTCTCTGACTTCCTTTAGCTTCTATTAGGTGTTAATAATAACCTAGATGAATGGCTACTCCTTAGAGAGCCTATAATAATTTAGTTATATATATATAAATATTAGTGCCCTTAGTTTCTAGTGGAACTAGATGATAAGCAATACATCCATGCTTATAAGAGATTTATTAAGAGTAGAAAGTGCTTCTAAGAATGGTAAATCTCTTATTATTAGATTCAGAAATATACTAATAAAACTATAGGTTAGTTCTTATAGAGAAAAGTAAAGTTGGAGCAGTTATTAAAGAAATCCTTATTTATATTATCTTTTAGGTAAATAAGGTGTTTATATTTCCTGCTATAGCTTTAAAGGAGTTTAAAGTATTTATATAGGACACTATAATTATCTAAGAGCTCTTTAAGAACTCTACTCTTGCCCCAGGTAATATAAGGCTATTTAATAATAGTGATGACCTGCTTTAGCACTTAAGGCAGCTTATATAGAAGGTTTATACTACTATAGATAGCAACTTACTGTAGGAGAATCCCACTATAAAGCTAGTAAGACTAATATCTCTTAATAATAGATTTTAATTAACTATTATATTAGACTAAGGTACCTCTAAAAGAGCTTTAGAATAATGAACTAGTCCTTCTATCTATCTCTATATAAAGCTAGAAAAAAGTATATAAGGAAAGTCTAGAGAAGTATAACTTAGAGGCAGCTATTTACCTATAATAGTTTAAGTATTAGAACTAGGTAAGGCTCTTAATAACTATAATTAAGTTTGCTAGGCCATGTTTTAATAGAGTGATAGCGCGGCTTAATAGTGAAGAGATAAGGGTATACTACTTAAATCTCCTAATAAGAGATTCTTGCTAATATCTATAAGGAGAAGGAGATTATTACTATTAGGGATAGTAATTAGGGCTTTCTCATTGTGGATACTAATGTCAAAGATAATATAACCTTAAGGAAAACTCTAGTATTAGATACTAAAAGGTTTAAAGACATCATGGTTGAAGAGGGTGAAATATTTAGTGCTATAATATAATACCACATATTAAAGTGTGCTATGGTGAACACACTAGAGCATGGCATGAACCCTATTAGTACTGATAAGATTAATATTATTTAGTTAAAAGTATGTTACAGAATCTCCTAATAAGAGAATTATCTAATTTTAACTAGGATGAATATAATGAGGCCTAGGATGTTCTTAAAGAGCTTGCCTTAACTTTTAAGTATGCTAGGTAGAGCCTATAGATAGACTATCTTAATAAAGACCTTAACTAATACACCATGTATATTAGTAAAAAACCTTCTAATTACTCTACACTAGCAGTCCCTGGCTTTCTCATAGCAGAACTAATAGAGTATAATTCTATAATTAATAAGATGACTGCTCTTAAAAAAGCTAATATAAAGTCTGTAAAGGAGAATATAGTAAAGAGAAAGACTACCTTAGTAAATAGTATATAATATAATTTACTAGTTAAATTCTCTTATTAAGAGAATTTAGTAGATTAACTAATCTTACTTAGATCTAGCAGGTAAATAACCTAAGCATAATTTAGCTATTATAAGTTCTGCTGCTGGTAGTTCCGGTGCTGGTGGTTCTGGTGGTAGTGCTAGTAGTGGTGCAGGTAGTTCTACTAGTAGTAGTTCTACTAGTGCTGGCCTGTCTTAATTACTACTAATATTTTTTTATTAGACCTTTCATAGGGAATCTCTAGTGTTAAGTTAATTTTAGGGGTTTTAGGTAGTTTATCATTCTTTAAGTATGCAATCTCTTATTAGGAGATTTAAGGATCAGCAGGAGTAGGTTATTTAGTATCCTTGGTCGGTGTCTGGATTGTATTCTCAATGTGCCCTCTGTTCTGGGTTCCCACCAACCTAGTCCTGATGCCCTCTTTGATCGACCATTCTGGGAAGAGAGTGCTGTTACTGATTTTCCACACCTTGAGCTTTTAAACACCTTTGACTGGATTGACTGGGACGGAGTCTAGCCGAGGCTGCGGGATTGTAGACTCAAATCTACGAGACTATATGGTACGGCATAATGGATCTGGATGGCGCCGAGCTGTATTTTCAATAAGTGCGCATGTGGCGAGTATTACGTCTGAATTGGGGAGGAGATAATCTCTAGGTCCAGGCGGGAAAAGTCCTGTTTCTTTCGCACCAGATAGAATTTGGAATGCCGGTAGCAATGAGCATATCAACCCCTCGGTTTAACATTGGACATGCAACAAAACCAGAGTCCTTCTTTGGCCACAGGGACGAGTCGGTCGCTATTTGGATCTTCCCTTAAGAAGACTGGCGAAGAAGAGGAGAACGCCCGTCGTACCGATGGTGAGCCCTGAGTATAGCTGAACCCCTAGATACGATCGCGTATCGTCCAGGATGGCGCCTGCAACCGGCGCACCGCACAGAGATCCAAAACCACACAGCAGAGAGCACATTCCCGTTTGAGTTCCAAGTGTCTGGAGATTCGGTGTCAAGGTCGTCAATGCAACCGCCGGGAGGGAGACGAAAGCGCCGGAGAAAAAGCCGTACAAGATGGCCAACGCTATTAGGCCGCCGGCGTTGGAGATGGCTATCCAGCAGAGCGAAAGAATGCCGCTGATGATTGCACTTCCCAGAAGAATATTTAAGGGACCAAAGCGCAAGCCAAGAAGGCCAGGGACAATCCGACCCGGGACTGAGGCGGCATTTAGGATCGAGACAAGGTAGAATGCAAGAGTCTCTCCCATGGCATGCTTTTGGATAGCATACGCTTCAATGTAGAAGATGGGGTTGAAGAAGCCGATATAGCCAAAGAACATCGCCGTACAGAACAGGGTATATGGGACCTCCTTGAACGCAGAGAATTCGATCAAAATGCGCCTTTGCTTTGGAACCTGGCGAACGCGCATGACGCTGAGTGAGAACGATATCGTTGCAAGAACCAGGAAACCCAGTACGCGAGTGGCCCATCCAAATCCGATATGAGGCTGCAGCTGCCGAAAGACAATTGGGTATAATACTCCTCCAAGGCTGCTTCCAGATGCGGCAACGGCCGTGGCAATCGCTCTGCGAGATGAGAAGTATTGTGGAATAATCGCCACAGAGGGAATATACAGGCATCCACTGCCAACGCCAACGCAGAAGGCTTGGGCAAGGAGCACCTGCCAGTAATCCGTGCACACGCTCAAGGCCATGAAGCCAACCCACAATCAGGACAGATCCTGTAGCCACCAAGACGTAAAAGTATCCCGCATCGTAGAGAGGGCCCGTGATTACACCGACCACGAGCAAGAGAAATGCCTGTATGGCGCCAACCCAGGAAATATTCGAGCTGGACTGGTTCTTCAGCAGTCCGATTTGGTAGTAAGTTTGGAAGACACCGAACGTGTTCACCGTTCCCCTAGTGTATGGAAGTCCTCCGTTAGTGATGTAAACCTCGACGGTAATCTCAGGACAGGTGCCATGAATTGAAAAACAGGAAAAAAGACCCTGCCACCTGTAGCCAGGCCTGCAGACCCCCATTTACAGGCGCACTGTACACAGTTTCTTCTGTAGCATCAGACCTAGCCTGCTGCTCTTCAGGGGAAGCGTCGCTTTGCGGGGGCGCCATTCTGATTTTTCAGTCGAAAGGCAGAACGTCTGATTTCGATCGATATATCACTAAGGAGTAATACTCAGGAAGTGCACGAAATGGTAGGTTCTGTACTATTCTCACTTCTTAAGATAAAGAAACCGTCCGGTCACCCAGGTGCGGCTTCGGCTCTCGGGTTCGGATTAAACTTGGCACATCAATGGAAGTATTCAGCAGTGCGTGTTGATGTATAGGCCTACTGCCTTCTACTAATCTTCTTAATTATTCTGCATCTGAGTGTGTTTGCCAAGAGCACAACCCATTTGATGACTCTGCAGACAAGAAGGCTTTTGTTCTTTTCCCTTTTTGTATCGACAAGACTCCAGCAAGGAACCTACATTCGGATAAGCCAGTATACAGATAACCGTATATATTCTTCTACTCCTCACTGTTCCTGCAGGCAGATGATATTATGATTCTGCTCCAGACGGACATGGCATCATGCAATACTGCCGACTTACATCCTCAAGAACTAGATAATAACATTATCCAAATCACAAGATTTACAGACTAGGAGTACCATACACTGAAGTAATAGAACCTTAATAGTCTCATTGATTTTACAGATTGCATCCTAGAAAGATCACCTACGATGTGATACATAGTATAGACAACTAAGCCTGGGTGACCAAGGCTGACTTCCAAGTCTTCCAAAAGTTGCTGGACGAAGTGAAGATAAAGGAAATTATTCCCTGGACCTCTTCATCATAGTGATTGCAGTCGTGAGCCAATCCGGGATACCCAGACGCCGGAGCTTCCTCCTCTTCGTCGTACTTGTTGGGCTCGTACAAAGAACCTGACGGAAGTTCCACCTTAATCATTTTAGCCTCACTGGGAGTGCCCGCGCCATTCATGGCAAAAAGCATATACCACCCTGGAAGGATAATACCAGCGTCGTCAGGGAGCCGAGCGGCGTACTTGTTCTGAGGCAACGGCTTGAGGTCGAGAGGAATACGACGCTGGTCGGTGTTGACGGTGTGGGTGGTAGTTCCGACACGGACCAAGGAGGCAGACTTAATTTCCGAGTCTGTCTGGAATCTCAATACCTGGCCGACGGGGACTCTCGCACCTCCATTGATGACATTGATGATCTCCGGACGGGTGGCTCTCTGGCCGTCGGCCGTGAAGAGGTATGGTGGAGTGAAGATCTCAGCGTCATAGTGGTTAGCCGAGCAATTACCGCAGAGACCACCGCCACCGTTGAGAACGGTAGCATCTGGCAGCAACATGGAGATACTGTGGTAGACTCGCTTGATGTTGTTGCGGCTCAGCTTCACGAAAGTGTCTGTCTCGGGATCATAGACTTCCGGCGTGAAATTGATGTCTCCTTCGTGGAAGGGCTTGCCCCAGATCTGGCCACCAGCAATAAAGACCTTCCCATCCGGAAGGACAACTGAGGTGTGGAAAACACGCTGGTAGTTCATTCCGCCTTCGCCTGTCCCATCGGGGCCTTTGCCGGCCACCTCGACCTTGGGTGCTTGATAGGGATCTCCCAGAGTGATGACATGGGCATTCTTGGAACCGTAGGAGCCGTCGTAGTGGCGCTGGCCACCGAACGTGAGGATCTTGCCCTTGGTGGCATCGTACATGACGGCGCTCCCAGACATGGAGTCATGGTCGTCTTTGCGTCTTCCGGCCTCTTTCACGGAACCCTTGATTCTGCCCTTGTAATCTTTGGCGTCAACGTTGAACCAATGCATCATCTTACTGGGACCAGCCTGGAAGACACTCGCATCCTTCCAGCCAAACAGCCAGCCGTGGTTATCGGCCCGCCATGCACCCAGACGGTCGTCGGTCATCATCGGCTCGACCTTGGCGCCGGGACGTCTTTCCCACTTTGCATTCTCCCCAGGAATGTAGACCTCACCATTCTTTTCGATCTTGTCCCCGCCGCTCCAGGACCCTCCAATGGTAAAAATGCGGCCGTCAGAGAGGGTTGTCGAAGCGTGATAGCCACGAGGAACCGCCATGCTGGGGCCTTTCACCCACGCCGTGCCATTGTACACACTGGTGCGACCAGAGTCAGCACCACCACTGACGACGATGTTGCCGTCGATGTCCATGGAGGTACCCGGGCAGAACATGTCGTGCTTGGTTTCAAAGACCTCACGCTGCGTGATGATGCCGTCGCGGTTCATGGTGGTCGTCAGGGTCTTACCACCGGGGGAGGCGAAGAACTGGTCATCAGCCCAGGCCGACCACATGATAATGTCACCATGTTGTTCGACCGCAGCGGACACGGGAACAATTGGTAGATTGATTGTGGGACCCCAAACGCCCTTGCTGGGCTCGTCCTCGGGGAAAGTGCCTTCGTTGTAGGAGTAAACGGCAAGGTTGACGATAGAAATCGGCCCATTCTTGATCTGCGACCGGTTGGAACAGGATTCGGTCTCGGCAATGAGCTTGACAAAACGAGCAGGTTTGGGGATAAAGGCCGACATCTTGGGACTTTTGTTTGATCCCCAAGTACCGTATGCGACTTCGGTCCAGTTTGCGCCGTCCTGAGACAGTGAGATACGGTGTGCACCAATCTGGCCACGCTCAACACTCTTCTCCAGACGAGGCAGCATCGTCAGACCGGAAACGTAGTACTCTTTGCGCAGATCGACGACGATCCAGGGAGCCTCCCCTTCTTGGGTAGGGTCGCTAAGCCAGTATCTTTCGCCCCGGTCGTCAATGGCAAATTCGCACTCGTTGCCTTCGTACTGGCTGGAGCACTGGACCTTCCAGTTCTCACTGGAGTTCTTTGCATTGGTTTTGGGGATAAGGTCCGAGTCGGGAGGAGGAGACTGGTATTTGATTCTGCCAGACACTGATTGGGCAATCTCAACGCGCTGCGCTTCGGAGGATTCATAGGAAAATTCAGCGGGTTTGAAGGCCTCGACAGCCACTGCCCCCAGGAGGAGACCATGTATCCACTGGAACTTCATTGTGATGCAGGTGAAAGTCCTGCGAGAGTGGATGGCATGAAAGAGTGAAAAGGAAATTGCTTATAAATGACAGCCGGATGGGAAGCATCAACAACCGCGCGCCATACGTAATGTCGGTGGCTGCCACGGCGGTTGGGATGCAGCTCGCTACCAACACCTGTTCGCTTTGGGATCGTCGGTGGATTTGGGCTGAGATTTGATGAGATTGATCTTTCAGCTCCTATACCATCACTTGTGGCCCAGTATGAAGTTTAGTGCTGAGAATCCTTCCTTGTTGGGATTGTATTGCATTTCTAGTCCCCAGTATCTCCACTTTTGCGTTGATCGCAAGCTGCGTCATCACGGAAAGGTCTATAGCCTGACTGCATGTCGACGATATATGGTAGAGGGTATGTCTTATATGGGTACACAATCGATTCACTCGGCGTATAGGTATGGTGTAGTCCTGTACTGATCGTATGTTGGGTCCGAAGCAAGTACGTGCCACGGTACCAGCAATCTGGTAAGAACTGCGGAAATCCTAAGATACCGAGTGTGGATGATCCGCTTGGCCGTGAACTCGGCAAACCTGCTTCCTCGGCGATTTTCTTTTACGCTTGAGATCGCCCTTCCCTAGTGGCTGACTGGCTGACGATCACTGCTGATCATGGTTCTAGTTGACCCTTTGTATGATTCTATCATACGCCACGAACTCCCAAGTGGATCTGCTCAGCTCCACCATGCGGACGGCTCGGTCCTGCCATCCTTTGCTTCCAGTTCCATGTATCTATCATATTGAGGTGAGAGTTTGGTTCACAGGCTGTCATATATATAATCCATCTGATTGGCTATTGTCGAAAGTCATATCACCAGATGCGGATATCTCCGTACTCTTGCTTTCTATGATATTGATATGCAACAAGATCGGGCAATAGCGTCTGCAGGCATTACATTGGACTCCACTATCCCCACTGTTTCAGCTGAAGAAATGCTGCAGTCTGTGCTGATGATGATCCGAATTACTAACAATCGGGATACTAATCTATGGAGTGTGATTAGTGCGATCTCAGACACCGAGATCCGCCAGATCAGCGTATAATCATACACCCTCCTCACCGTCACCACATATGGATGACGGACTAATCGCATTGGACGTCATCCTCACAGCAGCAGGAGGGGGGGATCAACACGCCGCACATACGACAGATCCGCTTGGGCGTGCGGAGTAAGGATTTGCATCGAGAAGATCCTCACTTTGTCTGGGTCGAGGAATCCACAAATCATGATCTGTTCATTTATCGATTGCTTTAGGCCGTGATGTATGATGCAGTTTCCTTTATTCAATGGATGGATGGTGGGAGGCCAAGGAGGGGGAGCTGAGCTGATCCTGGTGATGAAATCAAATACTCGCCCTCAGCCTGAATACAGACATAAAAGGGGCCACCAGTACTCAGAGTGCGGGAGCAGAAACTCATTCCCTTTACACTCTCCAGAGTACGCATAGATCAAAATGCCTGTCGACAAGCAAGAGCGAGTGGTCGACACTGACAACATCCAGGGAAGCATCTGGCCCCGTCTCCCCAAGTACTATGAATCCTACCTCTTTTTTAAGATCACCAATAAAGAGAGGTTCAGAATACACCTCAGAGATATCCTTGACAATGGGGAGGTCACCACCGGCACTCAATGCGAGGACCACCTGAAGTCAACTGGTGAGCTAGAAGAAGCATGTGCAAGCTCCCGACGTGATATTCCCGAAGCAGACCGGAAGCCTTTTACCGCAGTGAACATCGCCTTCTCCCACATGGGCCTGCTCAAGGTTCGCTGCTCTCTCTTCAATTACGTACTGGTTTGATAGCTGTGTATATTGATATTTTGGCACTTTCTCAGGTGGAGCCTCCTGAAGTTGAAGCGAAATTTGCCGCGGCTCTTGAAAAGGATCCGGATGATTATTGCAGGGATAGGATCAACGAAGGTCTTTTTGAAAAAGGAATGTTCGATGACCTCGTCTACGAAGGTGCCGATAGCCCTGCTGCTTTGCATCCGGACTTCAGGGCTCCTCCTGAAAACGAAACCAAGCAAGGCTTTAAACGTTGGGAGTGGAGAGTCGACGGTGTTTTCATTGTCGCTGCCCACACTGCGAAAGCTGTGCGCAAGAAGGTTTATGATCTGGAGGATGCCTTCAATGTTGGGGATGCGAATCGGGCCAGTATGAAGATTGCCTTCAGAAGAGATGGCCAACAGCGTCCTGGTGCAAATCGTGGCAAAGAGCAGTACGGTTTCTCCTACTTTCATTTTATTGTCTATGAATGGTGCTGATTCTGTAGCTTTGGTTATGAGGATCACATCTCTCAACCAAGGATTAAAGGCCTGGATGATCCCCCAGCCAAGGGTGAACCTCATGCCTGTCCCCCTGGGTATGCCAGACCCTGTTTATAGCTTGATTGTGAAATTGCCCGTTAACAGGACTTAGGTACATCTTTCTGGGCCACAAAGGTGATCCCAATATGAAAAGAGGCCCTGAGTGGGCTAAGGAGGGCAGTTTCCTCGTCTTTCGTCAGCTCGACCAAAAGGTTCCCGAATTTGAAAGGTTCCTCGAGGAGTGGGCGCCGAAAGTCCCAGGGACCAACTACAAGGGACCCAATGGTCCTGCCAAGCTGGGTGCTCATTTGATGGGACGATGGAAGAGCGGTAAGCCCACCATCCCCATATCATATTTTGATCCACCGACTAGCAAGAACTAATCGACAATCCAGGAGCTCCCGTCGCCAAAGCCCTCGATGAGGACAATCTAGACTTGGCATTCGACAACAAGTTCGATTTCCGACCCAAGAAGAGCATCAAAGGTTGTCCGTTTGCCGCTCACATCCGCAAGATGCGTCCTCGAGCCGATAAGAAACGTGATGTTGGGACTGAAGAGGACGGTGATACCACGGAGCTTCCAGAGCCAGACAGTGACGAGTCTGAGGCTGAAGGACAAGAGGAGGATGCTAGTGTCATCCTCCGCCGCGGTATCACCTTTGGTCCTGAACTCACCGACCAGGAAAAGCAGGAGAGAAGGACAATCGAACAACGCGGGATCTACTTTACGTGCTACCAGAGTCTTATTCGGGACGGGTTCAACTTCCTCATGACACGTAAGTTTACCATTTACATTCAACCATCCGGGATCTGCTTACCATGATAACAAATATAGGCTGGGCGAGTAACTCGTCCTTCCCTGAGTACAAGACCAAGACTTTCCCCGACGGACCTGGTATGGACCCCTTCGTCAACCAGAGACTCCGATCCGATCATCCCGAGGGTCACATCAGTTTATATGATGGAAGCAATCAAGACAAGACTGTTAAGCTTAATCTTGGTATCAGTCCGTGGGTTGACCAGAAAGGTGGTGAATACTTCTTCACTCCTTCCATCAAGGCTTTAAGGGAGCAGTTTTCAACTGCCATTCCGGTCAAATAGGCTAATCTCAAGCTCCAAGGAAGACTCCGCCGGGATTTATTTACACGTGAAGATCGCTCATTTAGAAAAGTGAAATAACTAGGCAGTAGAATTAAACAGGACCACATCTGAGACATTGACTCTTTCAAAGTGCAGCGTAAGGAATCATAATCCTATAGAATGTGGAGGACAACCAGCAGATACGTAAAGTTTATATATTTAGATTTATACACTCGTCAGGTACTCGATTTGCAACAGTTAAAATGTCGGATCTAAGATGTCCTAAGAGAATCAACAGAAGATATGGACAGAGAAAGAGACAGAAAAAACTTGTGTCTAAAATAAATGACCTTCCAACTCCGTCCAAGAGAGGTGTCAATCTCGTATACGGAGGTGTGGTGCAAAACTCATTAGCTGCTAGTAATCTTGGCATTTCCACTTACATAGCCATACACTAAAATTACTATAGAGATCTATACTCATTCCAAAACAATGGTTTTTAACTTCTCTATCTATCAACTCTTGGCCAAAAAAAGAAATTTGAAGCTATACAGAACCCCCTTTTCTCTCTCTAAGATGAATTCAGCACGTTCTTCCCCTACTATTCATATTTTCAACCTGCCTGCCTCCTCAAAGCCCTCCTCGAAGCCCTCGAAGCCATCAAAGATGCGTGGATCTTATCATCCAGTCACTGTACGCGTGCAGGCCCTGACTTTGGCCTACTGTGGTGTTGATATCAAGCATATTGAGGCTACAACTGGCATGCCTCGCCAGACAATTCAATACTGGATTAAGAAAGCCAGGGAACGCGGCTACAATCCAGAGATAGATCCACGCATCTTACCAGTTTACGTCGAAGATGGCAAGCGTACGGGACGTCCAAAGGAGATTACTGAAGCAACTGAACAAGCTATTCTTGAATCTATTAGCAAGGATCGAAATGGGCGTGAGAAATCTTCTGAAATTCTAGCATTTGAAGCTGGTATCTCTTATTCTTCTGTTTTACGCATTCTTAAGCGGCATGGCTATAAAGCAGTCAAACAAACTACAAAACCAGGCCTTACTGATGAGATGAAGCAGAAAAGATTACAGTTTTGCCTTGCCCATAAAGACTGGACCCTCGAAGACTGGAAAAACGTGATATGGACTGATGAAACCTCTGTTTCTCTTGGACAACGGCGTGGAGCAATCCATGTTTGGCGTACAAAAGATGAGAAAAATAATCCCACGGTTATACGGCGGCGTTGGAAGGGGACTTCTGATTTTATGGTTTGGGGAGCATTTTCTTATGATAAGAAGGGTCCTCTTCATATCTGGGCTCCAGAAACAGCTCAAGATAAGAAGCGTGCTGAGCAAGAGATTACTCTTTTAAATCAACAGCTTGAGCCTATCCGGCAGGCAGAATGGGAGCTTAATACTAGTATGGCGCGTTTAAAACTTCGGAATGGAAGAGCACCTGGCCGTGCACCTATCTGGAAGTGGAATAAGAAGAATGGCTTACTCTCTCGGGATTCAAAGGGAGGTGTTGACTGGTACAGATACTATAAGGTAGTATTCTCTTTCTCTATGGTTTCTACTAAGAATTTAAGAACTAATAGCTTTCTTTACTGTCTTTATAGGAAGTCCTTCTCCCTAAGCTTATTCCTTTTGCTCAAGAATGTGCAATCGAACGACCAAACACAATTGTCCTTGAAGATGGAGCTCCAGCTCACCGTCATCAATTCCAGCAGACTATATACAATATCAAGGGGGTCCAGAAGATCATGGATTGGCCAGGGAACTCCCCTGATCTTAATGCTATTGAGCCAGCCTGGCCATGGCTCAAACGGCGTACAACTTCTCGAGGGGCACCCCGCGATAAGAAGACAGGGAAGGAGGCATGGATAAAGGCATGGAATGATCTTCCACAGGAGCATATTCAGTGGTGGATTGAGCGTCTTATACGCCATATCGAGGTTATCATTGAGTTGGAAGGGGGTAATGAATATCAAGAGGGCCGAACTGGCAAAGATAATCGTGATTGGAAGGGCCATCGAGCAAAGGGTACTATCTCTTATAGACAAGATATTGGAGATCTAGCCTGGGAAGATATTGCTGTTTGAATAGCTTCAATATTTGATTCTTAGGAGTTGGAATTAATCGAAGTTAGCTACCATATAAATTACTATGTAAGGCTGCTCGGTCTTATTACCCTGCCAAGCTTACTAGCGGCTAATGAGTTTTGCACCACACCTCCGTACATCAGGTGCCAAGGATGGAACACGAGTGCCAAGAACGGAAGTTGATTCTGCATATCCTCAAATTAACCATCTAGAATCCTAGATCATGTGATTGGCAAGTCAGGGGCTTTTTACTTTGCGAGGAGCGACTGAGAGTAAGCCAACAACAACGCCTGACAGAAGTCGGGATCACACACAAGGCCCCAAGACCTGCAAAGAGCACTCGACTGTATATAGTTCTCTTTTGAACTTGAGATACATGCCCCAAGATTCTCCCACCATGCCACGAAAAAGGAAGTCCACAATTGATGCAGGCCAGCTTAGAAGAAGCGGCAGGTCAAAGCGAATAGCAGTCGATCAGGGCTGTTCCAGTACCGGCAGCCAAAGCAGTCCCAACCTGGATCCTTTCGCCCGTATGCATAGAGATGTTGTGAATCTCATCTTACATTATCTCTCACTTCCGGATCTCGCTTGTTGCGAGTGTGTGTGCAAAGGTTGGAGAGACACCATCCACTGGTGGGTAGCAGCATTTGGATTCCATGTCCATTTTCCGCATATTATCTGGGATCTCCAACGAGAGTCAAACATGGCAATCTGGGAGGCGTTCAAAGTCCAAGGTCGGTATTTATTTAGTCTATTGTACATGCTGATGCAATCCACACACAATAAGTCAAAAGATACTGATTTGTGCACCTTTCCTCACTCACAGCCCGTCAACAACATTGCATTCGGTCAGGAAAACCATCATCAATGCAAGAGTTCAGCTTCCGGAGTTACTATGATATGACCATCGTGGGAAACTTTGTAGCTGGTCAGAGTAGCACACATGAACAAACTGTATCTTGGCATCAACTTGCTGTTCCCGGTGGCGCAGTTGTGCATACTAAAGAAGTTGCCCTCAAGAAGGTCTGGAGGGTTCATGTGGTCCTGATGTACCTTGAGATGAATCAGGAGGGCCTTTTACTCCTGCGGCTCGGGGAGACAGGGAAACACCGTGCCAGGTGCGTATAATAAAGATCATATAGTACAACTTAAATGTCACTGACCAGGTCCGCTAATTCTCACGATCTCGATTAGAAGTGCTATCTATTCGCCCATTGATGGCAAAACTGTGTGGCGGCAAGACCACAGGCACAATGACCCAAGGTATGGTGTTCCAGGCGAGCTCACTCCGCTCTTAATAGGGAGGTCTGTCCTGCATTGCGCGAGACGGGGCTCAAACCGTGACACTTTTGATCTTGTTGGCATCGACTTCCGAGCCAGCAACCCCACTGTTATTTACGAGTCATCCGTCGTCGGGGCAAGAAACTGGGCCCAGAACAAATCTTGCAGACGGCTTGTACTCATTGGTGAGCAGCATGAGCTTGTGGTGCTAAGTGGTAATGAGCAGTGGGTGGGAACGGGGACGATTTCGATTCTTAATGGCGAAAATGGCCAGCTTCTCTTCCAGTTCGACGGTGGGCCCGCCCATTTCCATGGCCGTAAACTAGTGGCGCAGCCGACTATCAACCAGTTTTCGATACAAACAGTGCCAGCACGCGTCCGGCTGGGCGATGCTGTACAGCCCTGGGAAGCCCATGCAGAAGCAGTACGGGACTTTATTATCATGCAGACGTTTTCATTCGCTTTTTCTGGGTCTGACAGCAGCAGCATCAGCATACTCAGATTGGGCACAGATGTGGTTCTCAGCCCATGCAGTAATCACATGATTGCCATTCAGCCCTTTGCAAAAGTAGCCGTCGCGCTACAGTCCGACGATAACAGCATTCTGAGCGACCGGATTCTGAGCTACTCACTTGTCGAAGCAAACGAAACCAGTCTCATTCAGATGGCGGAGGCAGTGCTGAAAGCATCATGTCCTCCGAATTCGGCACCCCCGAACTTGCGTCACTGTTTCATTCTCCAGGAACCGGGACCAAAATCAGTGTCGGGTCATCATTAAGCCAACCGGGACCGCTGGCCCCTGCGCCAGCTATTCGAATGCGTTCCCTCGAGGGTTTTGTCGATGGTGGATGCCTTTTGTTGGAAGCTTCTGAGGCCCAAGTTTTGCTGAAGTTCTAGGTGGATCTTTCAACCGTAACTGCGCTTCAATTCCCGCAGAATTGACACAATTGTGAGTGTACGGTGAGTATCATACAGAGCTGGTGCCTATGGATCCTGCAGGGATTGATTAGTTGGTATTCTGCCTGGCAGTGCTGCTGCAACAGATGCTTATGTACAGGGAACTCCCTTTTCTACTGTAGTATTTATTATCAGTGGTCTGCGTGCAACCATAGGAGAAAACTAAAAGTCCACATTGTAGCTATAGTCCGCTGTCGAATTAGCCTGTCCTTCGCTGTAAACTGTCACTGCTTAGTCCATCATTCAACTGTCATAGACATGGACTCGGTTCTGGTCGTCACCGTCATTCTCTCGTTAATCAACTTGAGCATCTCAGCCCTCTTCTGCTCTTCATCCGGTATCTGACTTATCGCTGCAAGCCTTTCCTTGAATTCCTTCCCCTTTTCTTCTTCGACACGAGCTGCCTCCTCGTCTGCTTCGTCACTATCAGTCAATCCAACAGTACCAGCGGTCTTGACAACGATGTCTTCTTCAAGCGGGTTGTCTTCTTCAAGCAGGTTGTCCTCTTCTTCCATTCGCTTCCTCTCCTCTTCCCGCTGTTTCTTCTCGGCTTCTTTGTCGATCTTCTCCTCTCCGATCATGTTCCCGCTCTCATCATACACGGGTCTGAAGTACTCAACTCCGGTCTGGTTTCCGTTCTCATCGTAAACGAATCTGCAGTACTCGGTACCGCCCGCGGCCAGTTTTTGGACCTTCTTGAGTGGCTGGATTCGTTTCCAAGGTCAGATCAGGTCAAAAGCATCCGACCTAGACACTTACATTCTTACGGAGGACTTGGATAGTGTGAAGCCTGTAGATAGGTCCGGAGTACGAGACGACGTATGCTATGTCGTCCTTGATGAAGTCAGAACTGGAACCATAGCTCAAGGCTTCGGAGAACAAACCTCATCGGCTTTGTACGTTGACCAGCCCTCAATGTTGGCCTTTGCAAGGGACGATCCACTACCTCCAATGTTCCCAACACCGGTGGCTCCAAGGTCCAAACCCGCGCTGGTGTCCCGGCTATGGGCGCTTTGCATAGTAATGGCACACTCCTGGGTTGACCACGTCTTTTGGATAGCCCACAGTCCGTACTCTTTGATATCAGTACCATGGACGGAGCTCACAAGAGCCTTGGCATTTTTCTTGACCCATTTCTCAATCGGCTGTGTGTAAGGGTTCTCAAAACCTTCGTTTACCACTACCTGCTCGGTGATAAGTGCCGCTTTGCCGGTCTTGCCCCATTTGTTCTTTGCATTAGCCGATACATCCATAGGGGCAGCAGTCAGGGCCCCTGAAAGTCCTCCAGTGAGCCCGAAGCTTGCTTCAGCTTCACTTCCCGAGGACCTGGTTTTCCACATGCTTTCATCTGGTTTTGCACGCCGCAGGGGCTGATCAAGCCCTGTGAATCCCTTGCTTTCAGGATCTCCAGGCACGGAAATATCGGTAATCAGGTTCCACTTTCCGTGACTGTCGAAGTACCCGATCGATCCGGGGTGGAGCTTACTAAATGGTTGAGGTTTATATAGATAGTGGCCATCGCCATTAGGCTCCATGAGCTTGGCATACTCCTCGTAGACGCTGATAGTCATTGTGAGAGAGGAAAATGAGCGCGCGTTGAGGTGACTGAATTGTTTTTCTTCCCAGACCGCGGGGTAGCACACTTTCATAAGTTTGTGCTTTGTGTGTGGGGGTGGGTACCTGAGTCGGATCATAGTCAAATTGGCAAAGAATTTCGTATATGACCTTGTGATAAATCCTCAGTCGGATGCTAATGCAATTAGGATCAACAACATGCAGGATGGTCACCAGCACCTCTGTTCAATTATGCTTTCCTAGCGATCCTGTGGTCGTCACCTGTGTGCTGCGTTGGATCTCGTCGACGAGAGTGGAACCCTGTTAAGTTGCCAAGGTATTCATTTAGCCACATAGGTTCAGACTTGAGGCCTGAATGCGGGCTTCTACCTAGATACTATTTGCTTTCCTCTTGCTGAGACATGACGATCAGTGGAGAGGTGGGTCATAGCTCAGCCCGCCACTTACGCGCAGCAGCCGATGATCCTACAAACATCAAAATGGTAATAGCCAATCAATCTGCCTTACAGTACATATCCAACTAGGAGCTGTCCTGAATGAGAGAGGTTATCTCGTCATCTGTCAGTTAGGTGCCCTGGTGGCTAGGATTTATTGTTTAGTGTTGAGAAATTACTTTGTTACAGAAGTTCCCTTTTTAGATACACAACCTGGTGATAGATCGGAAACTAGATGCCTGTACGGAGTAGCCAGGGCATGAACCCATGGGGCCATGCCGATCAGAAAGAGGGGCCAAAATGATTGCACAGCTTTCACGAAGTATTTCTGGAAGAATTCTGGGTAGAAGCATCTATTGAAATATAAGACCACTAGGCTAAAAAGGTGTCCGGACATGATTCCCATCAGTCTAGGGTCTCATATCCATACTTATATTTTTCAACAGCATCTCAGCACGAGGTGAACCACCGGCAACATGTCATCCCCAAGCCATTGGAACATAGTATCTCCGGGTGCCGAAGACACTCTGTAGACGGAGAACTGGAACAGCTGGGTGAAGGCAAAGTGGTTCATTCTGATCATCACAATACATAAGTTTTACTTAGCAGACCTGTACCATCTGAAACTTTGTACAGTGCAGTCATACTAGCATCTTGCAGCCCTGGACAGCGATCTCTCGTACCCGGAACCCCTTAAACAGATCACCTCCAGACTAGTTACAAAAAGAGGTCCCCCACTGGTGGGTAGATGAGCAGGCGACGATGTCAGGCGACCCACACGACGCACCTTAGATCCGCGGTGACGGGTAGCAGCAGAATCGCCGTTCGAAGAATGGAACTCATAATCGTCCGAGAATTATATTGTAGTTGGTTATTGGTACGGCTTGAGTGTCCAGCCATTGCGTGAACAGGTCCGCAAAGGCGTCCCGGACGATGGGGTCAGATGAAGGACAGTGGAAGAAAAGACCGCCTTCGCTCTGGCTGATCGAGGTGAGTCTTGTACCTGAATGGACTTTCTGAAGATGCTCCGTCATGTCGGATACGACCGAGTCTATGATAGGGATGGGCACAGCAAGTTTAATATGAATCTCGTCTTTGTTTTCTGAATCCATGCTTTATCATTGACAGAGTGCGAAGGCTTGGTTTTATATTGTGGTTTCCTCTCGATCTCTGATTCTCAGATAAGCTCAAATATCCATACTTATGGGCTGGGTGACAACAGGCCTAGGTAATTTGGACGTCAATGGCGTCGTACTGCTTTCTTGGAAGATGTTAGTGCTTACAGTGCCTAGGTGCCTGCTGCCCAGCGAGGGGAATCGCATTTGCCCTTTTTAGGATATGAGGCGGCGCCAATATTACTTTGTTGTAAAGGAAAAGTACTACGTGCATGATAAAAGGTGTATGGGCCTATTTCACTAAGCAAATTTTACTCTGCTAGAAGCTGAGATCATGTACTAAGCATCAAGATGGGGCATGACCAAGTGCTTTTCTCCTTTTGTAGCAACCAAAACAGCGTGACGGAAGTGACATGTGGTGGTGATCGTGAATGGATCAATATATGCAAGTGCTTGTTGAATAGTATTTGATACCTTTACATAGAGTGATTGCGTGGCAACATCTTTAGTAGACAGCGTAAATGCAGCCACATTGTACTTTTTTCAGCCAGCCATTCCAAGGTAGGCCAGGGTATCAGCATATTTGTGCCAAACCAAGGCAAAATTACAAGATTGCTTCGTCTTGGAGGTAGACATGCAGGGTTGACATTCTTTGACCTCAGTTAGCCTGGGAAAATAACCTTGCTATTGAGAAACAAACAGGTACACCGTGCACGTCCTAGTCAGAAAGATTCCCCCTCAAATGCCGCCAAGATGAACAATTGGCGGGTCTTCCAAGCCACTAATGATGCCTTTTGGCTGATTGGTTCTCTTTGTTTATTAAGGCAGAAGTCCATGTATTTTATTTTCTGTATTCTTCTGTATTGACGTTCGATCTAATCAGATTAGGGCATGATTATGGGGCGCGGGAGACCCACAAATTATTCCCCTTTGGCAGCATTCGGGGGAAATAGCTGGCGGATGTTGCCCGTCTTGGCTATTGTGGCTTGAGAGCCTCGCCACCCTAATGGCCTGCTCATGTCAAGCGCATTGTGTGTCACTAGCAGGGCCCCTTCGCTATGCACAGCCGTCAGCGGCGTCATCGTTTATCACCGTCTGATCGACCTCCTGTACACAGTCAGTTATCTCGGCATGGCTACCATCTGTAGAACAAGATGGACGTCAACCGATTAGAAGTCGCTCATCTTATAATGATCAGTGTGCATACAGGGCACGAGAAACACTAGTTCATGTCTTGGTAGACTGCCCACCGTTAAAGTCGCCTAGGCAAGAGCTGCGGAGGAAAGTCAGGGACGTGTTCAGCAGCATGTTAACTCTGCCAGGAGGTGGTAATGAAGGCAAGGCAAGTAGATTACCTCACAAGCCAGTACAATTAAAGCTGTGCTGGACTTTGCAGAGGCATTACAACAATTCCAATTTTCAGGTGTTAAGAGGGCAGCCTAACAACGAGAACAGCAATTAGGTTATGATAGGCCTTAACAAGGCTCTAAGTTCATTTTCATCGCCTCCTTAGTTATTGAAGTTTCTGGATGGCGCAGAATCAGGAGGTCGATTCATGGCGCAAAAGAGTCAATACAGTGGAGGCTCTACAGAACGACATCTACAGAACAGCCGGAGTAAGTAAATTACAATCAACAAGCATGGATGTAAAGGGCAGTATACCGGACAAAAGTCCTCAACTGGTAAGGACGAGCAGCTGTAAATAGAGCTGGTGATAATAGGGTCAAGTCTGGAACGAGGCTGAATGTACTTGCAGGGCAGAAGGATTAGATCTTACTTTTTTTGTTAAAAGCTATAGGTTGAGTGCTGAATTAAATATATAATATAGATTATGGATAGTCGTCTTGTTCAGAGATGAATCTGAAGTTAAACCTCAGTTGAACCCCTAAGCACTTCAAAGGAGGTCTAGCATCCGGGTCTACCTTCTTTCCATGACCGACAATCCTGATTAAGCAATGGTGGTGGGCCAATACTGTGATTACGTCAAGCCATTAGAACAAAACTGAAATAACATGTTTTGGCTTTCTGATAAAACAACATTTATGTTTCTGCCGGCAATAAACTTTGGTTTCACCTAAAATCAAATTTAATAATTAGGAGTAGGAGTAGCATATTACTATGTAGTACTAGAATAAGGTTCATACAATATTTAGGATTCTATAAATTATTAAATTCAATCTATGGATGATATTAGAGGTGCATAACCGAACCGCTAAAATCGAATCCGCCACTCACCGAACTCGCAGCAGTGAGGTTCAGTTCCTAGCCTAGGGAATCGCACCGGTTTCGGTTTCCATAGGGTGGAACCGATTTGAGTTCGGTTAAAACCGCTGGGTTACAGTTTCTGAGGTTTTATTGGATTAGATTCACCAACCCTCACTGTTTTGCTTAGTAATCATTAATTTTCAGGGTTTCTCTAAAAATATTAATATCATTAGATAGCCTAGTATCTAGTCTATCTAATTCTGAAATATCAATTTAAAATACCTAGTTGTTGGTGAGATATAAGGGAATAATCATTTCTGTCATGGGTTGGTATGAAAGTAGTGGTGGTTTATACATATATTTGCATTAACCTTCGGCAAACACTATAGTCAAAGAATAACTTTTAGCCACTACCCATTCAACCCTATAGATATTGAGTCAATATTTCAGATATAGATTGAAATGACTAGAATTACCATATATTTCATATAAAAATACTCAAAATTGCAGCGGTTTGGTTACAACCCCAGTTGGACTCGGCCGAACTCGGACCCAATGCAACTCTAGAGATGGCCTAGGGGACACTCCACGCAGATCTCTAGATAGTATCTATTCTACTAATGATTCTCCCTGCGTAGGAGATAGCCCGTGGCCATTAGCGTGTTTTTTGATTGATAATAGCGTCCATCAACTCGGCCACGGAGGGTAGGTTTATGAATGTCAAATATCTTTGCAGCGCGGTAAATACTTGAAATTCGCCCTTTTTTCAAAGCAGATATTAAATCCTCCCCTCTTGTTCTGATAGATTCCCAGAAGTTTGACGGGATTTTGGTGGCATGGTAGCTGTTGGATAGGTTCAATATTCAAACGCGTCGAATCGGATGAGGGGTGGGCCGCTTGGTTGGGGACTACGTTAGTTATCGTCCGTCGGCATTGAAAGTCGAATAGACACGGGTCCAAAATACACACGCGAACATAATTGGCTCACTTAGTGGCCAAGAACCTAAGATTATCTTAGACTTTACTTGTTGTACTATGTCTAGAGTATAAGGGCGTCGTTCGTGTGCTCTGATGGTTGTAGAATTGAAAAAAATATGGTTGATTTTGGGGTGTGTTGATGGAGTTTTGATATGGGCCGTGGGCACGGGCGACGATGGGCCTGCTACTAGTATGAATTTGACACTCTGCTCCAAGCTACTTGAGCATATATTGACATTGGGGACAAGGGCTTGAAGCCCGTCCTTGCTTGTTTTATTTCTCGCTTGGCGGCCATATGTCGCCAACCTTAAACCCATGAGGATTGGGATCATAGCGGTCAACATAAGCCGTTCTTTCCCCGGTTAGAAATGCCCTTCCTGAAATTGTCGTGTGTATGGCATTATAACCCCCAACTGGAATGTCCTTCTTACCAGGAGTAAGAAAGCCCTTGAATGTCGTCCCTAAGTAACATTGATTCTCAAAATTCTCGCCTAACTTGCCCTTCTGTGCTAGTGAAGCCATGAGCGCCGAAGTACCCGTGCCTGCCGGACTTCGGTCGATTCGCCCAGGAGGCAGGATAGATGCAGTAATGCATTTTGTGGTGTAGGGCCCCTGTGTGCGATTTTCATCATATATCATGACAGCACCGATACCTCGGATGCACTTGTCAGCGTCGGGGTGCACAGGTTCTGGAATATGCTTTCTGCTTATCGCCTTTTCTATTGCCTTTTTAATTCCAGCACCTATTTGCAGAAGCCTGGATGGAGTAGGTCATTAAGAGTACTTAATTTATTCAAGGACTCCTTGATTATTTGTACTTACTCGCGGGTATGGCTGTCATCTAAAATTGCGCCCACGTCTTTGGCAGGAACCATAGCAAAGATGACGCCCCCATATGCGATGTCAACAGTCACCAGCTCATCGCGGAAGCCAATTTTCCAACTACCGAATGAAAAGGCGGGAACGTTCTCAAAAGATACGCTGACGCATTTCCCGTTGTCAATATGGGCCAAAGTTCTGACCAATCCCGCCGGCGTATCAAGAACCACAGGTTGAGGATTAGTTTCAACCTGAATTATCTCTTTTTGAATCAGGACAGTCACCACACAAATGACATTGGAACCAGACATATGTGGATACGTCTGAGAACCCATGATCACAAGGCCTTTGTGTGCGTTTTGACACGGCTTGAGAACGACATTAACAAACATTGTTGGCCGCCCTCGCGGCTCATATAAGAGGAGCTGGCGGATATCGTCGCGTCTGTCCCTGAAGTACTCCATTTTCTCCAGCATGGTCTTTGCACATTCGACATCATCCACTCCGTCAATGACGACGTCTCCTGTGTCTCCGGCGTAAGCACCGATGATACGTATCGGCTTCGGCACCGGGACTGGGTTTGGAAATTCAGTGTTGGCTGCCATTGTTCAAAGAAATATCATGAAATGGTCATGACAGAAGAAACGGAAGCAGGACAAACTGTTGGTCGTAATTTGTAGGAGAGTTAAGCAAGAGACAAACGGCTAATGTTACAAAGACCTGGCATATTAGAATATCAATGATTTCCAAGCTCAAATATCGTGACGTCTGTCCCCGACGAAGACGTATTTGAGTCTGTGTATATGACTGTATGACAAAGTCTATTCTAAGTAGTACCATGCAAGACCTCGCTGCAAGCAGCACGATGGATGCCGCTAACGTAGTATAACTTGTCCCAGTTTCATCTAGCCTGGTTCTAATGTGAAGTTACTGTAGTATCTGCGGGGGACATGGATATACGCATGCGCGTCATAATTAAGACACCTATTTGCCTAAATCAGTGGAACTGCCAAGGGACAGTGAGGAAAATGTCATTAGCCCACAAAAAGCAACATTGATGAACATTTAGTATAGTACTATATAACTTTGGTTACTTAAACATACGACTAGCTTGATGGCTGCAGCAATGGTAAGCAATGCTATGCCAGATTACTGTATCGCCTTGCTACTCTGCTTGTGGACGCTTAGGAGTCCATATTCATTTTTCATCTGAGCCTCCATAATTTGGCGCAGAGGCGCGGTAAAGTTGATTGTCTGCACAAATTAATTTGGTTACTTTGTCAAAAGGCTGCCATCCATCAGTAGCCATGGCTTTTGTAGTGTCACGAGGTTGAGGGAAGGAATATGGAATATTCAGACAGCAACTGCTGAGATGTGAGATAATCTTCGAGTTATTTTACCAATTGATATTCTGCGCGCTCATGTGTTGGACTTAAATGTTCTAGGCTGGTCAGGTACTTTATTAATAGCAATTTAGTTGTTTTAACGGCATATGGCATCGTCATTCAATTTATCACACCTTCTTCCCTTCAACTTCATTTTGATTCTGTTTGCGTCATAACACAACACGCTGATCCCCGTCATGGACACCGATAAAACAAAACACCAGATCGACACTACAATTTTGACTTCTCGTAAAGTACCGATGTCCTGAAATTGCTTGGAGAGACTCATTAGATGCCATAATCTCAGGTATAGTTACATGGTCATGAGCTCATAGATTGTTTAGCCAAGTGTATAATGCCCTTACAGTTATAATCAGTGTTTGTTAGAATACAGCTTCTATTTAAACATGATGCGAATCGTGCTGATAACGTCCGTTCCCGTGCTTCATCCGGAGCCGGCCACAGCTATCCCAAGGAAACTTTCGCGGAGCCACAGACCCCACATGGCCAATTGTGTCATATATTCTACTAGTCGCTGTATAGACAGTCTGTTGATTCTGGCCTTTGTTATTGCCTATCCGTGACTTCCAGGCCACCCACAGCGCTTCCGTATCTGGCAGTTTTGGTCCGGTGGGCTTGTCGTCCAAGCCGCCCAACTAATCCGTCCGCAACGCACCATACTATGTCGTCTAGCCGCCTAGAGTTCGCATCATAGCAATGCAGATACTTTGTACAGCTAACATGACTAAATGTTTATAACTAACTGCACCTCTGGCTTGTGTAGCATGGCAGATTCTGGAACCATACTTGTCTGTAGAAGCATACTGTTATTGGTTCTGGTGAAGAAATGCTCATTGTTTCTGCTGCGCAAGAGGCGGTATTCTCTGCAAAACTGTTACACGTTGCAAGAAAAACCGCCTCAGTATGATCCAACCATAGCCAGAGTTGATGCCAATCTCCGCAAGCAGACTCCAACTAGTCTAAAGGCAAAGGTGGCAATGCTATGCTCCGTCTTTCATGGATTTAGACACTGACGTAATGACTTTTCCACCACAATATTCTTTATCGACGTTCTCATAACGCACGTCCGATAAGAATAATGCAACATGCCCGTGAAACAGATCCCGGCTTGGTAATATTGGATTGAGTATGAAGGATGGCAGGTATATAGTTGAGTAAGTTCCTCCTGGGCTTGGATGTTCTTATCCAACTTCTAATCATGTATAACATGGAATGCTCCCTGCTACAGCTTTACGCGTTTGTCACCGTCTGTGAGATTTGTGAATTACTATTTAACAAACTACAAACCAGCAAGGTCGTTATTTGATTTGCCTCTCAGACTTTTTACCCTTCCTCTCTTTCACGAGTCATATAAAACAATACCATAGTGATTGGCATTATTCGCAAGTCTAGTGCTACAAATAAGCCGATGCATTACTCCTGGCTGCTCTTTATTCCGGGGTGTGTCCCCCTATGCCTCGGGGCGCCCCAAGTGAAGAAATCCGTAGCGGACACTCGCGCTCCTGTGGAGGCAGAAGGAGCTATTTCTGCGAAGTGGACGCTGGAGGGCGAGCAAGATGGATTTCCTCTGTGGCCGGGAGAAGGGGATGTGATCTCGACCAAGGCCAGAAACGGCGACAGAGGCAAAGCAGGGCAAGCTGTGTTAAATGTGCCATCGCTGGGCGGGATCATAATGCCAGTTCAAAGAAAGCAAATGTAGCCTTGAAAAGCGGCCAGGAATACAAGGCTTTCTATCCAACCCATGAACAGGCTATTTGGCCCGAGGTCCAAAATAAAGGTCCCCGCAGAGCAGACAAGCTCGTTCTCGAGTCGCCAGACTTAGATCAGTTCGATTTGTCGATCGCTGAGGTTGACGCGTCTTGTCAAGGCACAGTCAAGGGCTCAAAGAAGATCCAATGCGTATGGTACTGTGCAGACCGCACCTTCTACAATATTTCGAAGATAACGCTGAAATTCGGGGGCTCCCCCGATGGAACGAAAATTATTCTCCCGCTGACCCTGACCTCATACGTGGCACAGTCAGGTAATCTCACACAATCGGATTCTAAGACATACAATCATACCTGGGACAGGCGCGCCCCTCCGACCTTTAAGCAAACTGATCAGTCCCAGTTCCCACAGCCACGCGACATCACTGTATTTCCAGCTCCAAAAGCAGACGATGAGCGCGCTAGATTAAAACAGGCCTTCAAGTGGGCTGACTTTCAACCTACGGGTTTCTACCTGAATCCCAATACCACGCTTACCGTGAACGTCTCTGGTGCGATGGAGACTGGATCGAAACCCCAGATCCTGATCGGTACTCCGGCTTTAGTGCATCCATCTTATCATAATGATCTGATGCCGGTCCAGCTGCAGCCGTCTCAGCCGTTGAACAACGGGAAAAATACAGTGTCCAACGCATTTGGTGGAATCCTCTATGTCCGCTATAGCAACAGCGCCCCCGAGGCATCTCCTCCTTTGAGGGTCACGTTGTTAGGGGATGCAGCCCAGCCATTTCCACTGTCCCGGCAGGGTGTGACGACTGAAAAGGATTGGGAGACCATGCTGCGCATAACCAAGGTTCCATTCGCCGAAGTCACTGGTGAGCGGGTGATCATTACTGGGCTGGCGGCGGATGCGAAATTTTATGCGGGGCAAAAGATGTCCCCGCAGGAATTGTCAGAGAGGTATAAGGAAATCATTTCCGCCCAAGACAGCATCAGCGGCCTTAATGCCACGGCGCCCGACCCCAAAGACAGACCGAGCCACTTGCGACCTATGGTTGTGCAGACCCGCAACGATACAGATTTGAATTCATTCGACTATCGCGCTGCTATTCCGGCCCACCACCATGGGGACGTCTGGAATAAGACTCAGCTCCGCCAGTCATGGGCTGTCTGGCACGAGCTGGGCCATCACCGCCAACACGACGACACGTGGAGCTGGGATGCGCTTGACGAAACTACGGTCAACATCTACAGTCTAGCCAGCCGCCGTCTCTTTCCCAGCTCAGCAGCCTGCCATGTCAGCATCCCACCCGGGCTCACTCCAATATCCACGTTGGTGTACATGAGTAAACCCTGAACATCGTCTGATCAGCCGAAGCCTGGTTGGGTTTATCGACGATTAGGACCGCCCGTAGGATAGAGCGATTGGACTTTTCGATAGTTGCATGACGTGGGCTGAGGCTAATACCGTGGCTTGACCGAGACCTTCCAAGACCCTGTCTTGAATTGCATCGTGATATACTGGCGATAGTCGACCTCCTGGCCTGGCACTTCTGTAAAGTCATACCTAGAGAGCAGGTTGGCAGCTACCATTCTCATTTCATTCCATGCAAAACTGTAAACGAATTAGTGCTGTCCTAATCCAATTCCTCATGCTCGAACATACTTGATGCCGATACAGCTGTGTTTTCCTGCGGAAAAGGGATAGTATGCTTGCAGACTTCATGATATGTCAGCAGCGTAAGGGATCAACCTGTATGGACTACTTACTCTGCGTGTGGAACTTCATTTTCCTTGTCCTGCCCTATCCATCTTTCAGGGTAAAAGTGGAGGGGTTGGTCCCAGATATCAGGGTCACGGTGGAGATGTCTGTAAGATGCCGAAACAACCGTATGGGGGGGAAGATTGTAGCCCATGAGCGACACCCAATCTTTGCCCGTTCGACGCCCCATTTCAGAAGCGATGGGATGAAGGCGAAGAGTTTCCTTGATACACGCACTAAGGTACGAAAATCTAGGATTAGACCGAACGAACTTGCCATCAACGATGGGGTCATTTGGCGATAAGACTGGTAAAGTAGCCAGGAGCCTCTCTTTCACTTCAGGGTTCCGGATGAGCTCCAAAAATAAGCATGCGATCGTTCCTGAAGTCGTTTCGGACCCAGCGAGGAGAAGCTCGGACATCTGGTCTATAATATCTCTGGTCGTCATCCTTTGCCCGTTATCAGGCCTGTTGCCTTCAATGATCAGATGTTGCAGCAGGTCAGGGCGGGATTCGCCTGGCTTATCTCTGCGCTTTTGAATCACTGTATGAATTGCCTGGTGCTTTTAGCTCCTTGCATTGTTTGCCCATAAGTGTCCTCCAGGAAAATACGCACGTGGATCATCTCAGCTGGCCAGTCAAACTTTATATCAATCCCCCATCCGCGCAACCACCGCTTCAGATACACAGTCTGAATAAACGCTTACATATCAGTTCCAGATCTGCTGTATATGTATTGTAGAATTCACCTGATATCTTTTGGACATTCCTGTAAAAATCGCATGCGGTACAGAAGTCCATATATGGGACTCCTCCACGGGATCAGTCTCTGTTGTTGTAACTGTCTGTCCAAGGCCGTGTCCGAAAGAGCATTCCCCCATTCTTGGCTGGAAGTCAGTGAAGGGCAGTTAAACTAATTTTGAGCCACACGTACATATCCAACGCGACAGTATGCAAATCTTTCATAAGATCAGTCACTAGAATTTGCCCACTGTCGATTACCCCCATTTTATGGAATAGATTGTCATATCTTGAGATAAGTTTTGCAATACACTCGCCGAAAATGCTACTGAGTTGATCCACATAGCCAACAGTGAAGGCGGGTGAGAGAAATCTCTTCAACAGTTTGTGAGGGCCAGGTCGACTGATGATAACTGGTCAGTAAACTTTGGGCTTTGCAGCCAGAAGAGCTAGACTCATTACATCTCACCAAACAGCCCCGGACTGGAGCGGTCTCGCGAAATCTCCGCGTACATTGCAACTTTTGGCAGGTCAATTGTTTGTAGAATCTCCTTCATTGCCCGTTTATCCGCGATCCAAACATGACGTGGACCCAGTCGGACAATATTGCCATATTTTTTGTGACTATCCTCAACAAGTTTCCATATTTCCCCAGTAGCGAATGCATAACGCAGGTGGAGAGCTGTAAACGGGGCATACCACGGTCCAGGTACCTTTGACAAGGGGGACTGTATTGATTTCCAGATACTGCGGATTGTAAGATAAAAGATGCTGGCTAACCAGAAGGTCACACATATTGTGCTAAGGTAAAAAGAGCTTCCAGAAGCCCACATATCTTTGGCAACTTCGATCATTGAATGACTATCTTTGTAGCTCATCTCTGCGAGAATATATATATATGGAAGGAAATATTAATGGATAATCGCATGTCAGCTCATGCCTCATCTATTAAATAATTGTCTCAAGTCCACTGCCCCGCAACTGGCTTCAGAGTGTTGTACAGACAGCGCCTAAATTGTTGGCTCAATAGCATGAGCATCACCCCTCAAACCAATAAGAGCCTGTTGGATTTTAGCTGACAACAGCTGTACGCTTGACCGTAAAGTTAGGCTGGAAAATCAGCCAGCTGACCATCACTATATTCATCCCTTGCAGGTTAAATGCCAGCTGACCATCACTGTATTCATCCCTTGCAGGTTAAATGCCAGCTACGAATTGACGAAATTCGCCTAACGTGAGTGTGTGTAGACATAGCATACTGCGGATAAGTGGTAGTATCCACAGGGGCATTTCGACGGCTGACCATCGGCAGGCATTGGGTGGATGAACTTACTATTAGGTGCATAATCATATAGCAAGCCAACCACATAGTGTTGGCATGGAGTTCTATTAGTCGAATTTATGCTAATTCCTGCAGGGGTGAGCCAGTTTAGCAATGTCATCCTCATATTGATAAGGTATTACTCCTGGCCCGTGGGAGTGTTATGGTAAAATGTTGCAAGTCCATGTGGCAATGCTCCTTGGAAAACTTCCCATTTATTTCCTTCAACACTTGTCAGTTAACAACGGCCTCTATAATTGGCCGCTAGAGACTTGTGCTAAAGTAAGTCTCCGTTTCGAAGGTACTCGGCCTGAAGAAGTCACCCCTACGCTTTTAGGGAATGTTGCTTCGCCTTCTTCGCACTCCCCGCAGGCGCATTCAATCGTCCAGACAAAAAGATCTAGATGTCTGTTAAACAAAAGCTGACTTCATTGTAGGTCCATGAATCTCCCCTATAACCTCACGAGGGGTTTTCGGGTCGTTTGTTCCAGTCATGCTGTGGTGAACTGGAGACAATGCGTGGCTTTAATAGGTCGCTCTCTCAGTTTTATTGCCGTTTATTTAGTCCCTAACACCACAAAAGAGTATTCGAGTCGCTGCCAAATATAACTACCCCGAGAGTTTTAATTTGGACGATGCATCATGCAGTGGAACGAACATGGTTCACAATATCTTCCATACCAGTTAAATTGGATCCCAGGGTATAACTATGACCCAAGGGAAGATTACTGGTGTGTGGGCGACCAATGCTTTTCATATCTTGATATTCAAATATACATGGCAATCCTCGCAGTTGTATACCGCGGAGTTGTCAAAAGGATCAGATCTGCCAGTCCTTGCAGACAGTTGGTGATCTTATCACTAGGTCTGAAATTGCGGAGACTGATTGGCCAAGCATCTCGGCTACACTCTCCTTACTTTCACTCTGCATAGTGTAGTGTTGCAAAGGACAGGAAGCTGTTCGTAAACCAATATACTAGCTCATAAGGTGCATAAGCCAACAAGGATCTCACGCAAAATCATTTGTTTCCTTGACAAGCTAAATGCGACGTCGGGGACGCCGCTGCAGTGTCATCTAGGAGGGGTCTGGCGATATCTTCCGTCCCCTGCGGAAGGAGCGTGGGCATGTGCCAACAAAATGCTAGTGGTTCAGCGTCTACGACTGCCTTCATCAGGAGCATTGCGCCACTTTAATCAAAAGATGCACATAAAGGAGGAGAAGAATGAATCTTTTGCAAAATTTGTATCTGACTGATCGTTGCTCATCTCCTTGACTGCCAATCAAAACAAATCTGGAAACATGACGCCACTACCTACTGAGACATCTAATCCACCATTTACCTCCGTTGCATTGCAAACATCTGCGTTGCAACACCATCTTGATTTTGTTAGGAAATCCTCCCCTTACTACCGCAAGCTCTGGGAGAACGTTTCCTTGGGAGATCAAGCATATCTAGAAGCCTATCCCGTCGTGGATCATACTTCATACTGGGCAGGCCACGGGATTTCACGTAGCGAAATCATAACGGGCTCTCATGATGATGGCATTATCATGAATACTGGAGGTGAATAATATTCCTAGCACAAGCAGGCAAACAGGACTGAACATCTGATTTAGGAACAACTTCGCACCCCAAAGTAACACTTATGTCCAAGGACGAGCTCAGAACTACCAGCTATCAACTTGGACTTGGTATACTCGCTGCTGGCATACAGCCATATGATCGTGTTGCAAACCTCTTCTATGCGGGTGATTTATACGGCAGCTTCCTCCTCCACATTCTGTCAATCATGGATATTGGAGTTCCACTGGTACAGCTGCCGATTGGTGGTTCCTGTGAACCCGACAAAAGCATCCAGCATATGCGGCAGTTGAACGCGACTGTGGTGTTTGCCACAGCCACGACTATATACAGACTCGCAAAGCACCTGGTCGAAGAGAACAACATACTCCCCGCTATCCAGAGGCTACTGTTCTCGGGAGAGCCGTTTTATGAGGACCAACGAGAGTTGGTTGCTAGGGCATTTCCGAACGCTACAATTAGGTCCCTAGTTTACGGTAGTATCGATGCAGGCGTTCTGGGTTATTCAACTCCTGATGAGGACTCCCGGGTCCATGTTGTGAATAGTCCGTCAGTGGTACTGGAGATTGTACCGGATGGTTCGACAACCCCTACAACACGACATGGTGTTCCTGGATCCATTCTGGTGACAAACCTCGCACGGAAATTGCAGCCAGTCGTACGCTATCCCTGTGGCGATAAAGCTGAATGGGTAGATTACAATAATCGAACTTTCCGCCTGCTCGGACGAGATCAGCAAGCTGTCCGATTAGGGCCCGTCTCGATAGATTTCACTGATCTTCATGACATTGTCGCTTCGGCACTTCCAGCCAGGACCTTTCAAGCACTACAAGCATTGATCACGAGGGAGAACTCCATAGATCAGTTGACTATCCGCCTAGTCTGCGACAATTTGGCTCACGACTCCACAGATACAGTGCGTGAAAATATCGCTAAAAGCCTCGGCATGCGACGCCCAATGTTCCAAGACCATGTCAAGCGGCGACTGGTAAACTCATTGAAGGTCTCTATTGTAAGCTTGGAAGACTTTGATATTAATCCAAGGACCGGCAAACTGGTCCAAGTTGTCGATAAGCGCTAAACACGCAGCCAGCTACCGCGGGCCATTTCTGTCAGACAAGGGCATCTCTGAGAGAACACATCTTATCACATTCCTTACGAAAATACCTCAGCATATCAAAGCCGCGTAAATCCAGGCGGCCGTGATTGTAGGGCAGCGTCAATATGTATCGAATGACTGGATAAACATACGGAAACTAAAGTAATGAATTGGCATGAGCTTGTGTTGTTATTCATGGACTGTTCTTGCTAAGTACCTTGCTCACTCTACTCAGCAGGCTTATGGGCAGGCCCTCAAGCAGCAGAGATAAAGCGAAGAATAGGTTATCCATGAGCGGTCGGTCAATTCTTGAAAAAATCGAATCCCAACCCTGTCGTAATTCCATCTAGAAAGTTTGCTTGCTCACGTTGGCCATTAAGACCCCTGTCAAACTGCTGATTAATGATTACTAAATGAAATTCTGGCGTAGCTCCAAGTTCTAGTGCAGCACCAACAGCAGCTGCATTGAGTTATCACATTTCAGGTCCTCGAAGCCGTGACCTTGGAGCTGTGACCTTGGTCGGGAAGGGGTTGCGGAACGGGCCGTAAGTCCCTCTTGGAATGATTGAAGCAAAGAAGAGAGCACGTTGGAAGGTCGAAGATATATCTATCGGCGCATTGTCTCGGGTAACATAATTAGCATCATACGGCTAGTACCTATCTTCACTAGCAACATCATCTCGTGCTCACTTTCATGAGTTCTGCATCTGTAGGAACATCACCCAAAACTAGGCAACTCGTGGCTGTCCCAGAACGGAAATACTGAGGCAGATCGCCGATTGCCAAGAAGGGAGTGACATGGCAAGACGACGAATGGGTTAACTGATGCGAGCGTCACCCTGGAAACAGTCCCTAACATGCAGGGCAGGTGTGTCCTGACTTGATAAGAGCAGGCACACCGCATGAGCCATGACCTAACAGCAACAGCAACTAAGGGACAGGCGGGTCCACCCAATAGTGTCGGATACAATCCACCACTTACATGAGCCAGAGAATCTGAGTAGGGCCGCCTGATCGGGACAATCCCTGTTGAGCTGATCAAAACATTGCGGCAATAATACGCTTCTCTGTGCCTCTCTACAGTGAGCTCGGAGACACTGGTCCTAAATGTTCATATATTAAGCTTCAGCAGGACATGTGAGAGCTGTTTGAATTCTTCTTCTCCATCCTACCAAGTTCTAAGGGGCCCTGATCACCATGAAGCTGCTGAGTCTCATGGCCTATGCGCTGTGTCTGTCGCTCACCGCGGCGAAAGTCATTCCTGATGACGCCCCAGATCCGAATGGTAGTGCCGTGCAGCGCCATCTCATGGATTGATTAGCTATGATCACAACAGAAAAGAGGCAGCGATAAGGTATGCTGCGGCTGTGCCTTGCTAGTGATGATTAATACTGACTGGGCTGTGGATCACAAGTTTTAGCAGAACCTATTAATAGTTGCTTGACAGGCAGATGCCATCGTCCAGGCGATTTAGCAGGAGGAGACTAATAACTATTAGTAGTAGTATGGCATGCTGGAGCATCCAGAGGATGAGTGTTTTGCTAGGGAGATGTTCCTACTAGCACAGTCATACATTAATCCCATGAAGCTGTGGAAGATTATTAAGCATATGCCCAAGGGTGCCCTGATACATGCACACTTGTCAGCCATGCTGCTAGACTGGTCGTGGATTGGGTTTGGATGGATCCGCAAGGGGTTCAATCCAACCCATGTGGGTTATGGGTTGATCCACCACCTGTCTAACCCACCCTCATATCCATGCGGGTTGGATTGCGGATAATGGATATATCCATAATACCTAGTCAGGTGACCCCTAGTATTCTAATTACCACCCATTTTTCTAGTATTCTAGCTACACCACTAGGATATCTATATATTTTATTTATTAATATAATAACTTATTATATAAATATTATATATTACCTATCCTATAAGCTGAAATATGCTTAATTAGGGGGGTATAGGGGCTTCCTAAAGTTGGGATGAAAAATGGTGCGGAGATATATATTTCTTATTACTACTGTCCTAAGCATTATTATCTAAAATATAAAATCCACCATAACTCTAATTTCTCTTAGTAAATCTAATATTTTTATTTTATATATAGATAGATATGACTATTCTCTATCTATATATATAAAAATATATCCCTACCTAGGCCTAGATTAGGTTGGATAAGCTTATCAGTCCCTTAAGGCCCTAGATCACATGCACCCAATGGGTTATCCATATCCATGTGGGTTAGATGTCATCCATCCATATCCATGCGGATTGGATCAGGGTCAACCCCTATCCAACCCAAAGTGCGGATTGGGCGGGTTGGATATGGATTTGCGGATTGGGTCAGCCAGTCTACATGCTGCCCTTTAGAACTATTCTTGAGACTATTCTTGTGACTAAAGGCATGGTCATCTCTATGTTTAGACTGGCTGACCCAATCCGCAAATCCATATCCAACCCACCCAATCCGCACTTTGGGTTGGATGGGGGTCGACTCTGATCCAACCCATATCCATATGGGTGGATGGCATCCTACCCATATGGATATGGGTAACCCATTGGGTGCACATGACCGGCAGAATGACAGATATTCATAATATTCTCTTAAAGAGAGGTCTTTCTACCTACTAAAAGTAGTATAGTCTAAATTCTTAGGTCTTTCCGCCTACCAAAAGTAGTATAGTCTAAAATCACGTGTATAATATGGGTAGAATGGTTATCCACAACCCAATCCGCATGGATATGAGGGTGGGTTAGATAGGTGGTGGATCAACCCAAAACCCATGCGGGTTGGATTAAACCCCCTGTGGATCCATCCAAACCCAACCCACGACCAGTCTATCTATGTTGCAACTAATTCTAGATGAGTAGAGCGCAGAAAATGCTATAGTTGTGACGATCCGTCACCATGTTCCCCACTGACCTCCTTACACAGAGCTTTCTGCCCCTCTTAACTACTTACTACTTTAGGGTTGTTTAACTAGTTTGCACTGCTCCATCCTCTATTTATAATATCTCCCTACCATGTACATACTTTCCTTCTCTCTCTTCTCTATGCTTAGTTTTCTATCAAACTACTACTATACTATTAGAATATAATCAGTGCTATTATATAAAACTAAGCATCACTTCCTATATCATCTCTTTTATTAGAAGGTTCAAGATTTAGTAAAAAACATATTCTTTTTCATATTAAGCACTAATTTTACCTCCTCTTATAAAGAATCCCTCGCGTGCCAACAATGCCAACAGTTAGAGATGATGATATAACCTATTAACTGAGATTATAAAGAATAATAATAGCCAGACCTGCAGCTTCTACTAAGGAGCCTAAGAACCAGCAATGAACTAGAAATAGAACCCATAACCCCTCTACTCAGTGGAATAGACTAGATCCAGGTTTTATTAGAAGACTAACTGTCCTACTCAACCAAACAGAGAATAGCAGCCTTAATAAAGATACCTATAAGTTAGTTAATAGTATCTCCTATAAAGAATTTACTGCCCACTAGGGAACAGACCCTAAGCACTGCTAGAGTTGCATAACCGAACCGCAAAAATCGAACCCGAACCTCACCGAACTCGCAGCGGTTTGGGTTCGGTTCCTAGCCTAGGGAATCGCACTGGTTTCGGTTTCCATAGGGTGGAACCGCTTTGAGTTCGGTTAAAACCGCCGGTTACGGTTTTTGCGGTTTTGCGAGTTAGGTTAACCAACCCGCAACCGTTTTACCTAGAAATTACTGAATTCTAGATATTTTTAATTGATATTAATATCACTAGATAGCCTGAATCAAAGGCTATCTAGTGATATAAATATTATTCAAAATACCTGGTGGTTGCTGAGATATAAGGGAATTTCATCTCTATCATAGGTTGGTATGAAAATAGTGGTAGTGTATATATATATGCAACTGACTGTTGACAATAATCATATTTAAAAATGATTTTTTAACCACCACCCATTCAAACCTATAGATATTGAATTCATATTTTAGATCTAGATTAGTACGATGATAATTACCATATATTTCATATAAAAATCATAATTTTATGTAAGCATGCTTAATAGGGGCGTCAGAGGGGTCCCTGAAGGGGCCCCGGGGGAATGGTAAGGGTTAAAACAGTTAAAATTAGCGGTTTAACCAACCCAAAACCGAACCGAATCTAACCATGGTTAGTTAGTATAGGCCTAGCTAGGCCTAGCTAGGCCTAGCAGCGGGTTTCGCGGTGAAAACCGCAACCGAATCGCATCAGGTCTGGGTTTGGTTGCGAGTTCTAAATTTTGAACCCGAAACCGCAGCGGTTCGGTGCCAACTAGGCTTGAACCCGCCCGAACCCGCACCAAATGCAACTCTAAGCACTGCTAGGAAGCCATCTCCTAGATCTACATTACTTTAGACACAAAGGCAAACCAGAACTGTGTAGAGGCAGCTCTCCTAAATAAGTAACTTATTAAGAGCCAGAGTAAGACTAACAATCTTAAGTGCTAGAACAAATAGATCTATTAGGAATATAAATAGACCCAGGCCCAGCTTATCACTACTAATCTTAAATATGATAAGGCCTGAGAGAAGCTTAAAGAGGTAATCTATAAATAAAATAACTTCACCCTGCAGGTAGCCTGTAGATCTAGTATTAGAAACACTAGTTCCTAGGCTTTAGCTACTAGTAGTAAGTTAGTAAAGATTCCAGACCCCCCTCTCCTTAGCAATAGAAAGGACCCCTATTTTAAAGATTAATTACTAGCTATTAAGTAGAAGCTTATTACTAGTACTAACCACTTCCCTAACCCTATAATAAGAATTACCTACATAACTAGTTGCATAGAGGGTTAGACCTAGGCAGGTGTTCCGGGTAGCCCGACTGAAACATGTGTCAAACCCAACTTGGGCTGGGTTTTGGGCTCAAGGGGTGTGTTCTGAGTTGGGTTCTGGGCTTTCATATAGAACCCAGCTGGGTTTTGGGTAACCTAGTTGGGTAGATAAACTAGACAAACATCACAGATTATATGATATGTATTAATTATGTAGTCTTATCTTGTATTTATAGGTATTTAAACTGCATATATAAATATAAGCAGGCCAGAATCCTAGTATAGGGCTATACTCTAACTATTGCTGAAGAAGGGAGAAGCTAAGTATATATAGCTAATATACTAATCATTATAATAATCAACTATTACTACATAACCACAGCTATATATATAATATGGTGTGTGTCAT